CCCACGCTCCTAGTCCTGCAACATATATCCACTTTATACATGAGATGGATCAAAGGTGATGGTAATGATTAATGGTTATGGCAGATGCTCAAAGGCTTTTGTGTACTTACATTCATAGGAGCCTTTTACACCCTCTTGACCCCAGAACATGTGGTATGTTTGAATCAAACCGTTTTAAATGGCCTTTATATGTATTTGTACTTGTTCATTGCATTTAGTCAAGTTTCAGGCATGTAAGAACAATAGTGAAATCTGACTTTGTTGTGTCAGTAATTGTTCTTATTTTACATGTTTTATGTTTACAGAAAACAAGGAGTACAAACTGTGTCATTTGTTGTAGTGCTTTAAGTAAAAGTAGACTGTCAACTATTAGAGTGGACAGCTACATGACATTTGAAAATATCAAAAACTGCGGACAAGTTAATAACATTTCTCTGTACAGGATGTGTCAATGAATTTGGCAGTTTGGCAGAGGTGTTTTTTCCTAGATTGGTTGGAGTGGGGAGGATGCCATTACTGCCACCCAGCAGCGTACTTCAAGGCATTTTACTTTTAACACATGTGAATACAGTGTAAATATAAAAGCATTTGGTTTTCCTCATTTAACTCACAGAAAACAGAAGTCTATTTCCCAAAATTAACATCTGTCAGATGACTACCATTCCACTGTAGGTACTCAGTAAGTCTCTTCCTAAAGTCACCCATTACTCTTTGCAGTATCTCTATGGGAATTCATTCAACTTCTTCCCGAACTCGATGTTTCAATTCTTGAACTGTGTGGGGTGCTGAAGCTTTGAAAACTTGGGATATCAGATGCTCCCAGAGAAAGAAATCACATGTGAAAATACTGGGTGACGTGGCTGGCCATATGATGTTCCCATATCTGGAGATAACATGGTTAGGAAACAGGTTATTCACAACTGCCATGGAAGCTCATGCTGTGTGGCACATAGCCCCATCTTTCTGGAAAAACGTTTCTTTGTTGACTGGAAGACGAGCAAGTCCAGGAGCTAAGAAGCTCTCCAACATGTGAATGTAACGTGGTCCAGTCACAGTTACAGTTCTATCCCATTCATCTTCAAAAAGTACGGGCCAGTAATTCCAAATGAAAATATCGTGCACCATACTGTGACTTTGGAACTGTGCAGTGGTCTTTCATAAATTTTTTGGGGGTTTGTGGCTGACCAATAGCAGAAATTTTGCTTGGTAACAAACCCCGATAAATGGAAATGAGCTTTATCGCTCACCAGTAAGCTGTTAACGACATCTTGGTTTTGATTAATTAATTGTAAAAAAAAAGTCTGGCAGAAATTAACCATGTTTTCATAGTTGTGTTCATGTAATGTATGAGCAATTTGAATTTTATAGGGGTAGAAGTGGAGATCTTTGTGCAAAATCCGTTGAACGCTGGCTTCGGACAGCCCAAGTGATGTAGCATAGCAATGCACAAACTGGTGTTTTTTGTAAAATGCTTTCACAGCAAATGACCGTTGAGCTCAAATCCACAGCTCCATTGCAACTAAAACGCTTTGAAGTAGGCTGCTGGGTGGAAGTAGTAGCATTCACCCCACTCCAACCAATCCAGGAATAATCATCACTGCCAAATCGCCCGATTCGTTGACACTCTCTGTATAAAGAAGACCCTTAATGGAAATCTCAACCCGAAAACTGCCTCTCCAGACTGAGGGTTTCTTTGGTTTTCTTATGCTGTTCAGGCAAAAGCCATGACTTCTGCCTTCCACATTATTTCCAATTTATCATTCATTAACAGTTCTATCATTTGAGGCTGTAGAATCTTGAGCAATTACAGGCATTGTTAAAGGGCAAGAATAAATATAATTAAATATAGGTAAATTTATTAGCTCTTGTATCAAATAAGATATATATATATATATATATATAGGAATGGACCCATATCTTATATAACAGACTTTGATACAGCATTCACTTTCATTTCATGCATCAGAAAATAATTGACTAAATATTTTATAAGTTAATATTTCATGAAATAGAATTAGCTAGAATTAAATCTTACATACTATTAACAATTCATATCTTTATGCCACAGACTTTGGCACAGAATTCACTCTGAGTTCACTCATCAGCAAGTAATTCAGTAAATGTTTTGTTACTTGAAGTTTCATCACCTGGAATTAACAGTGCATTTTCTTAATGGTAGATAAATTAAGCTTCCACTGACATTTTTCAGTGACAAAATAAGGGAACAAAAATTTATGCACTCAGTTTTTCATGTCTGATTCTTTCATCGAGGAAAGGAACTAAGACATTTATCTTATACAATATTATTCAGTTTGGCATTTCTACAAAAATGAGACATACCTGAAATTGTTAGGAATGTTCATATACATATACAAATATCAATAAATTCCAATTAAGGCAAAAAAAGAAACAGTGAAGTGTTTAGGTTTAGTGTTTAGGCATTCAAATGCACAGATAGAAGACTTTCTATCACACATCAAATGTGCTCTGTCTAGAAAGTCAGGACTCATTTTTTTTAATCAAGATTGCTTATGTTACATAAACGAGGCACAATGAAATAGTAGCTCTTCTTTAAATTTAATTTACTTTTAATCTTATTCGTGTGTGTCTGCATTTCACAATACATTAAGAATGAGTTCTTTTTTCATTAGCTCTCCTTTGACTCGCATATGCGACAAATCATTATCACAAGGAATTTTTCCAGATCATTTAAAATACTCAGAAATATGACCGCTGTTTAAAAAAGGTGATAAATCAAATATTTCCAACTATAGGCTTATATCATTTTTAACTTCCTTCTCTAAGGTATTAGAAAAAGCTATGAGCATTCAATTGATTGAGCACTTAAATAACAATAACATTTTAATGGAAGAAAAATTTGGTTTTAGAACAAAATCTTCAACAGATGAATGAAATCTGTAAGACCTTAAACAGCAAAAACTTAATAGGAGGCATTTTTTGTGACCGAGAAAAGGCCTTCGATTGTGTTAATCATGAGGTTCTGTTGTCGAAATTGGAGTTCTATGGGATAAAGGGTAAAGCTAAACTATGGCTTGAATCGTATTTCAGAAATAGATATCAAAGGGTTTTAATTACAAATATAAATCTTAATCTCAGTGAATTTTCGACATGGAGTAAAATTAAACACCGTGTCCCGCAATTTTCAATTCTGGGCCCAGTGTTATTTCTCATATATATAAACGATTTACCCAAAACTATAAATGATAAAACTGTATCTATATTATTTGCAGACAATACTACTTTGTTAGTTAAAAGTTCAAACTATTCTGATCTCTGTGTAAATATAAACAATGCTTTTCACAGTATAAATGAATGGTTCAAAGTAAACCAACTTTCTATAAATTTTAACAAAACCCACTACATTCAATTTACAGCTAGAAATAATAATCCTAAATCTGAAATAAAAATTGTATATGATAGAAAACAAATTACATCTATATCCAGTATTAAATTTCTTGGAATATTCATTGAAGATATAATAAGCTGGAAACACCACATTGAATATATTAGTTCAAAACTAAGTGCAGTCTGCTACATAATAAGATCGCTTAAACCATACATGTCCATAAATACCTTAAAAATGGTTTAGCATTCTTATTTTAATTATGTTATAAATTATGGTTTACCCTTTTGGGGTAACTCACTCCAAAGTATAACAATTTTTAGAATACAAAAGAATATAATTAGAATTATGTTGGGATGCTGAAGGAGGGATTCGTGCAGAAACTTATGTAGAGAATTAGAATCTTGCCTGTGGAATCTCAGTATATACTATCTCTTATGGGGGTTGTGATAAAAAACAGAAACAAATTCATAGTAAATTCAGAGATTCATAGAATAAATACCAGACAGCAAAATAATCTCCATCAACCTCTTGTAAATTTGAGTAAATATCAAAAGGGAGTTTATTGTTTGGGAACAAAGTCTATAGTAATCTACCACAACATATTAAGGATATATTGAGTGACACTAAGAGTTCTGAGGTACAGTTAAAACAGTTTTTATATTTACATTCTTTTTATTCATTACAAGAATATTTCTGTTATAGATCTTTTCAAGATGCAAGTAGCTGTCTTGCTTTACAATTAAAAGAAGACAAGATAGTCAGTCTGTGTTCTAGTTTTTAGTTACATATTTTAGATATATACAATCTTTATATCACTGTATACTAGTCTTTATTTCAATTTATTATACTATTATTGTATGTTATACAAAAGTCATTAATGACATTGTGTTATAACTATTGAATTTTTAATTAATAGACTTGTATAAAACTGTACAAATCGTATAAGATATTATTGCTCTACTAAAATTAACTTATTTTATTATATTGTATACATTTATCAGTACTGTATTACAAATGTGTATGCTACTGGATGACAACTGTATTTCTTAGTTGTGACTGTAACTAGGACATCTCCACATCCGCATGAGAATTTACTCTCGACAGGATTTATGGAAGGTGAATAAATGAAATGAAATGAAATGAAATGCATTATAAGCATGATTAACCAATTATATTTTACGGTTTATTGTAGGGCTGTATAGTGTTCAGTGGTGGGATGATTGATGAAATGAATTTGAGAATATCTAGAAGGACGCAGTCTTTGTCTAATTAGGTAGTATCCCAGAATTTTCTTGGAAGGACTGAAGAAAAATATAAAAAGGTCTAGTTCAGATAGTCAGTATCGTGGCTGAAATTCAAACTGAGCACTTTCAGAAAACAAGTATAAAATGTTAACATTACACCTCTGTTCTCAGTCGCTATACATATGGGCACATTGCAGTACCTCCTAAGAAATGAATCTTAAAATATACCAATTCTGTATGCTCTTACTTTATGTGTAAATGCTGTAGCTGAGTCATTAGTTGCATATTTCCCATCATGTAAATATAAGCATAATAAGAGAAGTGCACCTTATTTGTGTTGGAACATTTTACATAATGTTTCTTTATGTAATGCCTTCTTATTTTTACAGACTTGGCCTGAAGAAGCATTAGAGATGGTTGCACAAAGATACATGACTAATGTCAATGTCAGTGACGATATTAAGAAAGCAGCTGTAATAGCATGCAAATATTTTCATGTCAGTGCAAGGTAATTGATTTACAGACATATTGGGAATGTATGCAAGACTGTGTTTTATTATTATTATTATTATTATTATTATTATTATTATTATTATTTATTAATATTGTATTTATTAAGTTAGTTATTGTTAATATACGTGGCACTATACTTATATCCTTTTTTAATTGATAAGTAACAGTATGAAAACAACAAAAATATCATGGAAGAAATTATTGTAGCACCCTTCCTTTGAAATTTCAGAGATCAGAGTACAACATATTGTATATAAATTGATAATTTTACAACTCAGGGAAATATCATTCTACACACTTACTCCTATTGTAGGCTCCCAGTAACTGAAAGACACTGACATATTCTCGAAATTTTACATTTCTGACATATTTTTAATTATTTATTAATTGCTCCTGTAGACCAGCATATGGATGATACAGAACATGTAGCAAAAATAACAATATATAAAATGTGAAACAAATTAATGAAGATAAAAACAACTCAGATAGTGTACACTAAGATTTCAGTTATAACACAAATTAAAAGCTGTCATAGAAAAGACAATACACAATGCATCGAATAAAAATGTCATTTACAATTCATAAAACACACAGTTGGACACTACAACATCAACACAGAACTTCAGTCCTCATACGACCAATTTGCTTGTACCATAGAGTCGCCAGAAACCAATATTGTAAAATCATCAATTCAAAACTCTTATTGAGTAGTAACATCCTTTTATGAGCAGGTCTTCAACTTTGTAAGATCTGAAGTTTCCATTGCCATGGCTGTCTTCTGGGATGTGACATATGGTCTCATAGATGTTTATTGACATTTCAGATTAATGTGCTGCCTACTCCCCATATCATCACATTGTAGAAATCTAAATATTCAAATCCTTACTGGCTTCTTTTTAGTCATGTATAATCATCTTAATACTGATACTGTATCCTCAAGTTTTACACACATTAGTCATGACATAAATTAGGGATGATTAAGAGCATTATGTGGAAGTGGTCCATTAATATTTGTCATCTGTATATAGGATGAAATATATATTATATGTTGTATAACTCTATTCTGAGGACCAAGCGAACATGCAAGTTAATTCAGTATTCTAATATTAAATTGTATTTTCTAAGATTATGGTTCTTGCATCTTTATTTGGTATAGATTTCCTAAAACGAAATTGAAATTGTGAACATATTTAAGTTTAGTGGATAACAAGTAACGTAGGTGATATTATTTTTTCAAGTGCCTTAGGTAAAGCCAAGACTAGGGTGACAGGATAGTAGTTCACATTTTCAATTCTGGGCTTCTACAAAATGCCAGCACGGATCCATGCAATATGTTTTCTTCCAGCACCAACTTAGTTTCTTCTGCTATGCCATGCAGCAGCATGTGTATCATTATGAAGAATACGTGCTGTATGATGAATCGAAAAAGAAACAGTATTGAAGTACAAATAGACAGGTCATTAAATCAGGCATGTTCATACCTAAGTGACCCTGTACTTTTATAGGGCTTGAAGCACAAATTTTCATGGCCAGAGCCAATGCATTAGCGAAAGAGCACTGTATAAAACTATGGATATGAGCCCATCTTCTTGTTAATGTTACAATGGTATTTTGCTTACTCGCCTGTGTTTTAAAGAAAATCCTTGAGGTGGTGTCCATCCACATCAAAACACATTTAGTCCCGGTGTAAGACTGTCTGCGACAGTCATTTATTTCATATAATATATTTCCATCTACAGTGCAACTTATTATTGTGCACTTTTCTTCTCACAAAATGTTTTGGCCATACACGGCCATCATCAGGAGTCTCTAATTTGCTAATATTATGGCACTGTATGGTATGTCCAACTTTGTATATCATCTGGGAATGGAATATCTTTTAACTTAAAATAAATGGACCTTAATTAAAATCAATAAAAACTAGTTAAAATTTTAATATTTTTCTTCGGGTCATCATCCATTCAACCAAACGATATTGTTCTAGATCATCTTGTTTGGATTTATTTGCACACTGGCATGGGTGTTTGTGTATTATTGTGTAGTTCACAAATGTGTTGGTGTAGTTATCATGTATGCCCCTTTGACTGTTGCTTCTTCACTCTGCCTGTGTAGTAGTGTTGTTTATCATTCTGTGTGTGTAGTGTATTTGAGACACCTGATGATGGCTGTGTACAGCCAAAATATGTTGTGAAAAGGAAAGGGGACAATAATAAGTTGCATTATAGATGGAAGTATATTGTACAAAATAAATGATATATTAATACAACAGGACAATCACTGCAACTCACCTTATGTAATATATATTACACTTTTAATTTAATTCTGATTGGACTCTAGATTATGTGGATCGTTCCTGTACATTATTTTGATTAAAGTTCCACAACACATAAAAATCACACACACACACACACACACACAAACAGATCTTGCAAACAAAGTGGCCATAGGCTCCAGCTAATTATCCTTCCACAGAAAATTTCACAAAAGGCCTCTCTAGATTGTTGTGATGTATGGGATGTTGCATAATCCTGCTCCAAATATGCATACTGCATCTCTTCTTCAGTAAGCATTTGAAAGATTTCCCAAATATTTCTCACATAATGCTCAGTGTTCACAGAATTTTAAAAAATCTGGACCCAAGTATTTTCGAACCACTAACTGTGAACCAACACGTTTTCTGATCATGAATTTGGGCTTTATGTAATGTGTGGGTACTTTTGTTATCCCAGTGATGTGTGTTCTCAGTATTAAAGAAACCTCCAAGTTGAAACTAGCGGTATTTCGATGTACTCGTAACCATTCGCGCGCAAAATTCAAATTTCTGGAACTTTTGGACTGCACCATGTATTCTGTAAATATATTTTATCTTTCTATCCTCCCAGCAGTAAAGCCTCTTATATTTTTGAAGTATAAGGTATTAAATTTTATTGAAATGTTCTGTTGTTGTGTTTGTTTATTCTTTCTTTTTTTCCAGGCATGTTTCTGATGCCTTCTTAACACAAGAAGGCAGAAAGACGTATGTTACTTCAGCAGCATACCTGGAGCTCATTCGATCATTCACAGATTTGACCAATGCAAAACAAGAAGAAATAATGAAAGCTAAACTGAGATATATGTGCGGACTGGATAAGTTACTCTTTGCAGCTGAACAAGTAAGACAGTTCTTACCGGTAGTCTCAGTTACAAAGAATGATCATAAGAATGTGGTTTGCATTACTGACAGCGTGGATTGAAGCAGAAATCTTTTTTTTTTTAACATACCGCTTTTCAGTGAGGAGTTAAGTAGCCTTGATGTCTGCAAAAATTATCAACTCAAGGAGGATGAGTTAGTATATATGGCCTGTATCCAGGAGATGGAATATTCATACAAAATCTTTGTGAGAAAGTGTGAATGGAAGAGAATATTTGGAAGAATAATAATAAGATGGATCTTAAAGAAATAAGGTGTGTGGTTATGGACTGTATTCTTGTAGCCCAGTATGGGAACAGGTAGTGGTCTCCTGTGAATGTAGTAATGAACTATTGGTTATCAAAAGCGGTGACAAATTTTTTCCCTAGTTGAGTGAATATTAACTTCTCAAGAAGGGCTCTGTTCAAGGGAGACAGCTAGTTAGGGTGAGCAGTAAGAGGAAGACTAAGGAACCACTGAATGGAAAATTTTGGAGCATTACAGGCATGAATTTGCTGGTTTGTGTAAAAAGGAAGACTGAAAATTTTGATGTTACTCTTATCATTTGACAGTTAACTGAATATATTATGTTACAGAATTTAACAACAACAACAACATTAATGGTAATAATAATAGCAAGAGCAATGATGACAATGATGATAATTATTGAGTTGTTTATTTTTAATATGCTGAATAAATATCTGCAGGAGTCAATTACAGAGACAGCACAACCAATGAAAACATGCATCCATAGGTATCAGAAGAAAATTATTGATGGATGGAAACTCTTCTTCGTTTACAGTGTGGGAACCCCCACATACTAACTCGCAGCTTCGTTTGCCTAACAGACAGCATTCAACTTCTGCTCAAACCAAGTCAATGTCACATTGCAGCCAGCACTCATATTTATACAGCACTCGATGTCCAGCCCACCTGTAGATCATCACATGCGCTAGCCAATCAGTGCACAGAATCACAACTGCAACTTTAGCTCCGCCCAACAAGCATGGTATAAAAGGCGGAGTTCAAAACTCGCTATGATCAGTTCTTCTTTGATCGTCCTCACTACGACAAAGACAGCTAACGCAGCTACTCTGACATCACGAAGCAGCAACAGCTCTCCAGCAACCGTGCCGAGACAACTGCTCTGTCATCAATCGCGTCATAGGCAGCTGTTCCTACCAGCGCATGCAGCACCGAATCACTGGCCAGCCAGACCAGCTGAACAGCCATGAAGAAAACCTGGTCTGCTACAGAGCAGCTAATGCTACTAGTGCAAGCATGGTCGAACAGACAGCCCTTTTCAGGGCCCGCAAATTTGTGAGCAACTATTCTGTACATTCGAGAATAACATATACAATTGTAAGATTTGAGGCTTTCACGGCGGTGACTATGAAGAAAGCAGTCTTCTGGGATTTGGCACCGTGTATAAGTGGTGTTAACCGACGTTTCGGAGGAACGTATCGCCTCCATCTTCACAGTCTGCTTTTACCATTCTCACGGTCTTGTCGCTTGCAGATTTCTTATACTTTTTCTTCTACCCTGAAGATGGAGGCGATACGTTCCTCCGAAACGTCGGTTAACACCATTTATACACGGTGCCAAATCCCAGAAGACTGCTTTCTTCAACGTATACAATTGTTATAGTTAAACGTGGTTGTCTCTTAGAACATCGACATCCCACAACAGTGATATGAAAGGTGACACAAGAATTAAATGTTTTTTTTTCTAATCTGGTGCAAGTTAATGATTTGAGCTTGCTCCACTCTGAATCAATTTTTAATATAAGAGGTTCTCATATTATGATTAAAAGGTGACACAAAGTCATAGTTCTAATTTTTCTTGCTGGACAGAAGGTGAAATGGAGCTACAGATCCCCGTTGTAGATTTCCTATGTAGGATTTAGTGTTCTTACAGCAATTTTTGTGAAGATTTCTATCTTCTGAAATATAATGCAGTGTAACCTGTTGAAAGTCAACTGACGTTTTGGAGTTGTATGTCACTTTCTTGCTTGGCATATTGTTTTACCCTGAAAATGGAGGAAACATGTTACTATAAGACATCGGATGACTTTCAGCAGACTTCATACCATTATTATCAAAAAGACAGAATTCTTCATAGATTTCTGATGGTCTTAGGTTATCCAGATTTACATGATTTTCTCCCACAACTGTAAAAGCATCAGCAGCAATAACTTCCACTGGGTTTACTGCACCTGACATTGAATTCATGGAATGGTAGCCAAAGTTGATTGTTTAATGTGGAATGCATTTGCAGAGCACAAATAACATTGGAGACAATAACAGCATCCTTTTGTGTTGAATAAGCAGGCAATGACCCATTATAAAATTGAGTTTTGGGAAGTTTATAGTTAGATTTCCTCCCAGAAAGCCCTGCATTTAAGACTTCAGGGATGTGTTCTTATTCTTTGGCTGCTTCATGTCATTGTTAATTTCCATAGCCATATATACCAGAGATTTTAGCATTTCCATTGTATATATGCCATTTAAATGTATTGTTTCAATTTTATTGCTAAAGGAATGAACATCATTAAAGAGGGTAAAATAAATTGCCACTGTGGAGACAGGTAGTTCTTTATGTGCAGTCTTAATGGGGGCATCAGCATTTATAGTAGCTCTTGTAAGTTTTATATAGTCAGCATGCTGATGATGTGTACACATTACATTCTGACCCACTTATTTGCAAACAACTGAATTTTTAAGAATACATAGTTGAATATCAGTTCAGTAGTTTCATTTGCTGTTCAGTCTGTGTTGTATGGAAATGTAAATAATGAATTATGAATTATGAATGCAGTTTTTTCCCCCATGAAATGATTTCACATAAATTAAACAGGAACTTACTGGCCACTGCCTAAAAAATATTAGGCCCATAATCATCAGCTGCACTTGGAGCAAAAGGGGCACATATTCAGCATGTCTGTGCACATCATAATTAATGAATAAAAATAATAACAATAATAATTTACTTAGGTTGCAGCAATGCAGAAGGAACTGTCAGAGTTGAAGCCTCAGCTAGTTCTGGCAGCTGATAGGGGCCGGGATATGATGAGAGAGATTGAAAAGGAGACAGTCAAAGTTGGGGCTGCTTCTTCTCAAGTTCGATCAGATGAGAAAATTGCCAACTTGCAGGCAGCTGCAGCTCAAGATCTGAAGAGTGAATGTGAAGCTGATTTGGCTCAAGCAATACCTATATTGGAAGGTAAGATACAGCACTGTGGAAGTTATGTTGACTGATGAGAAATGCCCAATGCATTCTCAAGAACATTACTTCTGTTCTTTTGAATGTGTTCTATGTTGACCTACCATATCCTGTTTCCCATAGCCCAGATCAATTATCTACTATGAAAACATATTATTTTAGCCAGTATGCAGTGAAATTAATTTCCCACTGTCACAGCTGCTGTGCAATGAAGTCTTCTTGGGCATATCCTATATTTTGGAGACAGCCCCTGCCTCCATCATCAGGGATTGATGTGATTTTATTTTTTATTTGTAATTACATTTCATAGATTCAGTTGTTACCCAGTAGGGCTGGATATAAAATTTGTCACATACAAAGTCTTACATAAAAGATCACATGCAATAAATATAAATATACAATATTAAATGTAACATATAAAATTTAAGATATAAAATATTAAAATATATATAAGGTAAATAGGGCCTCATGCAAAGAGCACAAGTTGCCAGTCCAGTTTTCCCATTTTGAAAAATACATACATATTAAGTCCATTCTCAGCCTTAACTGACTAGAATTGTCAAGTGTTAAACTAATCAGTACAGCCACTATTAAATCCAACCAAAGGGAGTAACTTACAATACATTTACTCATACTATTTATTTACCCTCTATTTTTGTAACTCTTGTATGCCCTATAAATTCATCAATAGAGTAAAAAGAATTTCTCAGCAGATATGAGTGATGTTGCTTCATATTGTGCTTATACCCACGGGGATGCTCAACTGCCCCAGCATGGACTGCTGAGTGAAGTGTAGACAAACTCAGGTGGTCATTATTTTCTGCATCAGAGTGAATTATTAGGGGAACAATGGACAGTCAGGTGGTAAGTGATGTCCTGTTCCAGCATGGATTGGTAAGGGAACAGTGGACAGAGTCAGAAGGTAAATGGCTTTCTGTCACAAGCCAGAATGATAAGGGAACAGTGGGCAGAGTCAAGTGGTCATTGGTATCCAGCCCCCACGTAAATTGGTAGGGGAACAGTTGCAAGAATCAGGTGGTCAGTGGTGTCCTGTCCCAGCATAGATTGTTAAGGAAACAGTGGACAGAGTCAGGTAGTCAGCTGTCACAATTCATGTTGCTTAATCTGTTCATTACACCATGTTAGCTGACATTTGTTTTTTGTTATGATGTTTTTTGATGGACCCCCACATATTGATGGTGTGTACCATGAACAGCTTAGTGCACTGTAAAAAATTCAAGGGCAATACAGTTGTGTCCAGAACAACAAGCTACCTGGACAGCTTGGTGAAGGAGGCCACAGAAAACTACAGCAAGGATACAGAATTCCCTCTAAGCTGTTTATTGTATCTGGCAACCAACATGTTTAAACAAGAAGTAACCACCAAAAACCCTTACAAAGAACTACAGCTAATGTGCTGTAATGTAAAGTGGAAGCAATATGGATTGTATTGAATAATGGTATGACTCTGTCCGTTCTTTCCCCAGTAGTCTGCAATGGTACAGGACACCATTGAGTGTCTGACTCCACCAACTCTTCCCTCAGTAGTTTGCGCTGGGTAAAGATACCAGTGATTACCTCACTCCACGTTCAGGGAATAATCTGTGGGAATAAACAGGACTTGCAACCACATCACTCTTCACATCACCCCCTGAGCATGGAGACAGGAACAGTCTCTGAAATAGATACAGACTCCATCTTCATAATGATGATATTTGAGAAGACTTCATTGTAAACTATACCCTGGTCATGCAATATGTTGTGGATATGCTGTCAGTGTTGATAACTTGAAAAATGATCATGGTAACTTTAATACAGTGAAAGTAATCCAAATATTGACATAACCAGAAGTGAGTATAAAGTGCAGATAATAATGCGTGTACCAATGGATGGTTCACAGTCATGAGCTTACAGCTTATGCACACAAGAAATGAAAGTAATGGCAGTTATTTTGTTTTGATTTAAGACTAATTGAGATTAACTGCAAAAAGAGAAACTACAGTGCACATCATTTCTGCTGAATCTTTTCCATCCTTGCAGATGCAATTGCTGCACTTAACACATTGAAACCGACGGATATCACATTGGTGAAATCCATGAAGAATCCTCCTGATGCAATCAAGCTGGTAATGGCAGCAGTTTGTGTGATGAAAGATGTGAAGCCAGATAGAATTAATGATCCTACTACAGGCAGAATGGTAAGAGTACTACAAGAACTGGAATTATGCATAACTTTCTTATCTACATATGTAAACACTGCAGCTGAGATGCCACAGTGTTTATGTGTGTCTAATGGTGGTGGTGGGCGCTGCCAGCGTCGTCATCATCTGTACATAGTCTGTGCAACAATAAAGGAACTGTTGGGAGAAGTGTTTCCTGTGCAGTACATGCCAAGGTGTTATATACCGAACAAGTCTTGAATTTAGTTAGTTGTGAGACAGTTGGTGGCCAGCAAGGACATGGATGCAGAAGCTGAGGAAGCTACAACATTGGAAGCCGTTTGCAGGCGACCGCCAGTGAAGACACAGCAGGCTGAGAAGTTTTATTGCATCCTGTAGTGAATTAGCAATAGCGCCATAGTTACTTGTAGTTATGATGTGTAAGTGTTCAATAGAGCCTCTTACCAATCCAAACCCCACCTGTAGTCACTGTATCACGTGACAATATTATCTTACTTATTCACATACCGGGACGAGTGAAATTCATCACTCAGTGTGAAAAGATTACAAGAAGTGAAGACTGTTTATAACTTGTTGGAATTTATAAGGATTGAAGAGAAAATTAGGAAATGCAGAATTTAGAGATATTATAAAGGACATGGCTATAGTAGGTGTAGTAGAAACTTGAGTAGAAGAGAAAGATAAGATTGAAATTAATGTTATCTCATGTGAGTAAATTAAGGAAAGGAAAATAAAGGTGTTATTTAAGAAGAGTCGGGGGCACATGGTAGCGTAGTTGGTTGAGGCACTATGCTACAAGCTTGAAGATCGCGGGTTCAAATCTTGGTGAGGTCATTAGATTTTTTCAATTGACCTAATTCCTCCAGCCGCACTATGACCCTAGGGTCAACTCAGCTTCTAACAGAAATGAGTACCAGAAAATAATTAAATAATTTTCCTAGGGAGTAAAGCATGGCCGGTGCGTAAGGCTGACAACCTTACAGCCATCTTTGATGCAGTTGTCTAGATAATGTGAGACCCTCAACGTCAAACAACCCTTTGGGCCTTCACGGCCTGTTACAGGGATAGCTTTACTTTTTACTTCTACTTTATTTAAGAAGAGTCACCATGCTATTCAGAGAAAGCCTGTGACATAGCAGAAATAAAATAAATAAGTGAAATGGCAGATGTAATATGGATATCACAAAGAGATGATGTAGGAAGGGAGGGGAAGGTATGCACTGTGTTGTGTTATAATCTGCTGAAAGTATGCAGCTATGAATATCAGTGTTTTTTATGGATCTGTAAAATGAAGTCGTGAAAATTAAGAATGTACTGGGGGAAGCAGAATTTATAATTGTAGGAAAGTTCTGGAATAAGGGACTTAACTGCAATATAATATGATGAAGAAGACAGGGATATGATGAAATTTTATTTCCTAAATCCCATAGAAACAATGAGGATAAGACACAAAGTGAAGAAGTTAAAAATTAATTAATTTGTGTGAGGTACTAGAGTTACAAATTTTAAAGAGTAGTAGAAATTTCACTGTACAGTTCCAGAATGGTTGAGAAGAGAGAGATATTACATAGTATTTCTAATACTGGTCTTTATATTCAAGTGGCATAGTTGGTACAGTTTACCTAGTGTTATACATTTTCAAAAATTCCACTGTCAACATCAGTGCACTTTGCAACTCATGAGGACATGATCATCTTAGTGCATCTTTACTACAGTACATCTGTCCTATACTACTGAACAACTATGAAGAGGAGAACTGTGAACTGGTGAAGCCAGGAGAGGAATAACATGGAAGAAAATAAGATTTTGGGGAACTGAGGGTGCTGGAGAGAACAACAAATGGGGAATTTATTGCATATCTAGCAACATTCAAGACTGGAACTATATAGTGAATTGAAAATGAAGATAATTTGGAAGGACCAGATTTTGGGCAAGATGGGTTAGAAATATCAGTGAAGAAATAGGTATTAGGAGGATAGTTGCATCCAAGAATAAAGAGCAATGGCAGAAAAGTAAATTGAAGAAGTAAAAATAAAGATAGACACAAGTGAAATAAATCAAATGCTGTAAATTTGTTTGAATTTCAGTGATTAGATGTTTAATGTTTATTCCAAAATGAATTCTTAATTTTAAAAGAAAGTAAATGGGTATCATTTTCATGAAAATTCAGTATTTACACAAGACACTGCATTTTGTAATATTTAATGTACATTTAAAGTACCATTTAAATTGTATTTCATTTTTCAGAATACATAAACTGACAGGTAACTAAATTATGATTCTCAGACCATATCACTTATGTTCATTTTACCTGGTCAAGCTTGTAGGACCATTCCCACTTAATGATGATTCCCTGAATTGCTGTTCCAGATAAATGATTACTGGGGACCTAGTAAACGAGTGCTAGGAGATATGTATTTTCTCCAGTATTTGAAGGATTTTGATAAAGATAATATTCCTCCTGCCATAATGAAGAAAGTCAGAACTGAATACCTTCCAAACAAGGACTTCAAACCTAGTGTTGTGGCCAAGGCTTCTAGTGCTGCTGAAGGTCTGTGTAAGTGGGTGATTGCCATGGACATGTATGATAGAGTAGCAAAGGTATGTAACACTGTCATATTTTGTATCTATGATAACGGAACATTAAGTTTTAATCCTAATGGGTTTGAGTCACAATGAGGCCATTGGATTTTTTAATTTACCTAATCCTTCCAGCCACACTGGCCCTGGGGTCGACTCAGCCTCTAACAGAAATGAGTACCAGGAATCTTCCTGGGGGGTAAAAAGCAGCCGGCGCATAAAGCTGACAACCTTACTGCCATCTGTGAGCCAATCATGTATAAGATGTGGGAGCCACAAACACTCACACCCCTATAGGCCTTCATGGCCTATTACAGGGACAACTTTACCTTACTTTTTATACCGGACATAGCATTGAATCACATCCTTTGCCTTTTCAACCCAATCCACATCACAACACATGTCTCTAAGATCAGTTCTTCTATCAGCTTCCAAACCCCTTTTTGTTGCATAGTCTGGATACTGGGTGCATCTTTTTCTTCCAAGTGGACATGTTAAGATTGTTATCAGCAAAATTTCATATGTATGCTGTATTTCCAGCCCATCATAACTGATAGTACCATAACATTAAAATTCACATGATACCTGCTTGTCTGTACTACGTGTNTATTACGTACATAAAATAATAATACGAATATTTGTATATTACAGATAACACCTGTACAGTGTGAAAACAAGAACTAGCCGCTCCAGCACTTAGACATAGGGCGAGTAACCCTAAGAATTTTAAATTTAAATTTAAAATTTAGAGAAAATTTTAAAAGATTTTAAAAACATCATAACTAAAGATTTTTAGAGTGCTACTACAAGAATATCGGGTTTGACGTGTGCAACATAATCTACATACCAGACAGATATCAACGACGTAGATGTTGATAATACGAAGAACGTGACATTGTGTTTTTAAATGTTAAGTTTTAGACTGGGTTCAGTGCGGCAGCAACGTTAAGAGTATACACCTGATGATGGTCGATAGAGGCCGAAAAATGTAGTGTAGAAAGAACAAGATCAAAGACATATAAATGTATATTGTTTGCACTTAGGATGGAGTTTGTATCATTTATCGTGTAGAGTGCAACAGGATGCTTAAATATAATACCCTTCATTGTATTTAATAAAAATGCACATGTATTCGCCTAAAAAGACATTTTGAAAAATCTGTGTATAACTTTGTATAGGAAGTTGCCCCAAAGAAGGCAAAACTGGAGATAGCAGAGGCAGAGTACAATGATACAATGGCCTTATTGGAGGAAAAAAGGTCCCAACTTCAGACACTTGAGGCACAGTTAGCTGAATTGCATCAGAAACTAAGAGAAGCAAATGAACGGAAGAAAGCGCTTGAAGATGATGTTATTCTTTGTACAAACAAACTGATGCGAGCAGAGAAGTTAATTGGTAAGTTAACAGATTCATTTTTTCTGTGTGCTTTTAAGTACATTTTATTGATACCTATTACTACTCTACCTTGTTCCCTGAACACACTACTTATTCTTAAGAGTGTGTGTGTGTGTTTGTGTTTTTATATATATATATATATATATACTTACTTACTTCCTTACTTACTCACTCATGGAGCTGAGCCCTTCTGCAGGAGCCGCCAATTCTGCAGCCACTGAAGAATTTCCAACATTTTATGGAACCCAGAGGTTCATTACCATGTTCACAAGAGCCCTCCACTGGTTCCTATCCTGAGCCAGATCAATCCAATCCATACTATCCCATCTTATCTGTCTAAGATCCATTTTAATAATGTGCACCCACCTAAGCCATGGTCTTCCCAGTGGTCTCTTTCCTTCTGGCGTTCCCACCAGTATAATATATGCATTCTCATCTCCATTTGTGCTACATGCCCTGCCCACCTCATCCTCTTTGACTTGATCATTCAAATTGTACTTGGAGAAAAGTACAACTTATGAAGCTCCTCATTGTGCAGTTTTCTCCAACCTTCTGTCACTTCATCACTCTTTGGTCCAAATATTCTCCTCAACACCCTGTTCTCAAACACCTTCAGTCTATGTTCCTCCCTTATGGCCACGCCATAGCTCAAGCGGTTAGTCGCTGACTTCCCACCGCAGCAGCCTGGTTTCGATCCCTGGCCTGGCCAAGTGGGATTTGTGGTGGACAAGTGGCACTGGGGCAGGTTTTCTCTGAGTACTTCGGTTTCCCCTGCCAATCTTCATTCCACCAATTACTCCACAATCACCCTCACCTATCATCGGGCTGGTATAATAGGCAAGAAGTGGCCGCAGTACAAGGGACGTAGTCCCACCCCACTAGAAATAAAAAAATTAATGTTCTTCCCTTAATGTCAAAGACCATGTTTCACACCCATACAGAACCACAAACAAAATTATAGTTTTCTATATTCTAATTTTTATGATTTTGGACATCAGACAAGAAGACAAAAGGTTCTGGACTGAATGGTAGCAAGCATTAACCGAGTTCATTCTCCTCTTAATTTTCTCCTGAATCAGGTTTTGATCTGTTATCGTTGGTCCCAAATATCTGAAGTGTGCCACATTTTCAAAACATCTATTTCCTATCTTTATGTCATGATTTTGCCCTGCGTTTTGTTTATGAGACAGCAACATATACTTAGTTTTCTCTGTGTTTACTTCTAGACCAACCTCTGTACTTGCATCAATTAAAATTTGTGTGTTTTTCTTTCTGGTATTTACATTATCACCCAGTAGATTCACACCATCAGCATAGACCAACAGCTGATGTGTCCCATCTAATTTCAGTCCTTCCTGGTTTCCCTGGACCTTCCTAATGGCATATTCTAAAGCAAAGTTGAAAAGGAGTGGCAATAAAGCATCTCCTTGTTTTAGACCATTCTGGATAGGAAATTTATCAGACAAATGTTTACGTACATAGACTTTACTATATATTTTGTTTAATCACATTTTAATCAAACTAACTAGTTTCATGGGTATCCCAAACTCTATGAGAATATTGTACAATACTTCCCTCCTGAATGAATCATAGCCTTTCTTGAAGTCTATGAATAGCTGATGTACTCTTTCATCGTACTCCCATTTTTTCTCCGATATCTGATGAATGCAAAAGATCTTATCTGTAGTTGATCTGTTACATCGAAACCCACACTGATGATCCCCAGTAATTTCATCTATATATGGACTTATCCTTGAGAGAAGAATATTGGATAAAATTTTGTATGAAGTTGATAGCAGTGACATCCCCCGATAATTACTACAGTCAGTTTTATCACCCTTCTTGTGAACTGGTACAATAATAGACTCCTTCCACTGATCACGCAGTTTTTCCTTATGCCAAATAGAATTACGTAATTAGATTGTGAATCTTAGAATATAATATTTCACCTCCTGCTTGAATAAGTTCTGCCGGAATTGGATCACTACCTGGCGATTTATACCTTTTCAATTTTACTATAGCATGTTCAGCCTCAGAAGTGCTAGGATCGGTTATTAATGGCTCACTGTATGGATTTCTGTCTGCCTAACAGCACTGGCCCTATGTACATTCAATAACTGGGAGAAGTATTTCCTCCACCTATTCAAAATGTTGTGGGAATGTTCAAGCAGATCACCATTCTCATCCTTCACTAAGTTACTGCTAGGCTGGTAACTCCTCTTAAAGTCAGTTATTCCTCTATTGAGGTCTGTAATGTTCTTGTTCTTACTGTTCATTGCAAGCTCATCAATTTTGTCTTTCTGATATTCCCTCTTTTTTCTTCCTCAAATGACTGCTGGTTTCACGTTTTATATTGTTCAGATTATCCCCATTTAACTCGTTCGGATCCTGTAACTATTGCAATTTGGCCTGCTCTCTTTGATCTCATAATTCTGAGCATCCTCCATCGAACCATGGATTATGCTTCTTCTGTTCATAATAACCTAGACTCTCTTTGGCAGACATTTTTATATTCTGTCTAATAGTTTCCCAAGCTTTATTAACATCCACCTCAGTTTCCAAGTTTTCCAAAGCCGCGAACCTGTTTGAGATTTGAACACAATACTGCTCTTTACCGTCTACCTCATTTAATTTCTTGAGATTGAACCTCTCCATATGAAATCTGTGTATTGTTTGTTTGCTCACTGCCAGTCTTTCCCTAAACTTTGCCACCACCAGGTAGTGGTTAGTATCACCATCTGCTGCCCTGAATGATCGGACATCAAGTAATCTTGAGTGCTGTCTCCTGTCTATCAAAATATGGTCTATTTGATTGTGTATCTTCCCACCAGAAGATGTCAAAGTAAATTTATGGATGCTACGATGTGGAATCATTGTATTATTTACAGTAAGATTTATTTATGTGGCAAAGTTTACTACTCTAACTCCATTATCATTACTAATTTCATGCAAACTCTCATTCCCAGTCATTGGTTTGAAAATGTCTTCCTCCATACTTTGGCATTGAAATCTCCTAACAAAATTTTCATAGGGTACTTCAGGAATTTATCAAATACATGTTCTAGTTCTTCATAGAATCTATCCTTTATGTCATTAATTTTATCTTCTGTTGGGGCATGAACATTCATAACAATGATATCACACTAGCAACCTTTTAGTATTATATATGATATCCTATCACTAACAGACTCTACCCTCTTAACTGCTGATACGATTCTCTTTTGTACGAAAAAAACCTGTACCTAATTCATGATTTTCATTACCCTATCCATAGAAAAATGTATAGTCTCCTGCTGGTGCAATGCCACATCCATACCATCTGACCTCATGTACTCCCACTAATTTCTTAAATCGCTTAGTAGGGGGTGGAGACCATCTGGGTCCACTCGGCACGGTGGCCATTGATTGGCCTATTGTAGCCTGCCCCGGATGATTATAATGATGGAGAATTTGGTAGAATGAAGCGTGGCAGAGGAAATCGAAGTACTTGGAGAAAACCTGCCCCAACGCCACTTTGTCCACCAGAAATCCCACTTGACTAGACCCGGGATCAAACCTGCCATGGTGTGTACTCCCAATAAATCTAACTTATATTTTAAGATTTCCTCCACCAATGCCCTGAGAGAACCTGCTCTATAGAAACTTCAAACATTCCAAGTGCCAAATATCATAATCATTTTCTTTAGCTTAGTTCATTTATCCAAGGAATCTGTCCAGGTCCAAGGCTTTGTGTTCATTTTCATAACATAAGTATTTTTTACGTTGAGGAGTCATTAGCCCCAATCCCAACCCCCAAGCCGGAGGACCACCCCTTGTCGGCTGTCCGCAACTACTTATTCAATATATTCGCAGCTTTTCTCAAAAACTGGAGGACGTCTCCTCCATCTGCAACCTGAAGATGTGCCATACCGTGGTGACAAGGGACCCACCTAACATGGTATATATATATTGTCACGTATTGGGTAAGTCATGCGACAAATAACTTTATGCCATATTGAATGTAGCAAATTTATTCCACTCACTCTTACAATTACACAATTTACAATTTCTCAATTACTGCCATCAGCAGTATCACAAATACTTCTGTAGTCACTGCCATGTACTCGATACAACCTGACTTGGCGACTGCTAGATTGAAACTGACTGGTTACTCCCTGTCTGGTTACTCTTATAAATCCTCAGTCGCACAGTGGAAAACCCACATCACTTCACTGTTGTGGAAACACTGTGTTTACAGGCATTGCTGGGGAACACTGCCAAGAGTTGTTTATTGATGCGTAGTAACCACGGTGTCCCCTGTTATGTCACCGCATCTTCCTTGGGAACTTCTTTTTGTGCCACGTCAGGTTTTGTTACTACCAAGGTCGGCTCTTTCTCTTCTAGATGTGCCTCCATCTTTTGGCAGGCAATCGTCTTCATGTCTCTGTCCGGTTTGGTTTCGGCCACAATCTCCTTGTGGCTGGCATCCGTCCCTTTTCGCATGGTGGCCATCATTTCTCTCCAGGCTTTCGTGTCGGTGTCCGCCTTTTCTTGCCAGACTTTCCTATCAGCCATCATTTGTTCTTGGCCAGTTAATACGCATTCTGTCATCCGTTGTATGTCCATTTTCATAGGGCAGCGCTATAAATACACACTTCAGTCTTCAGTTCAAATTGTGGCAGTATTAAAAGTCGATGCACTCGTAAATTCGATTATTCGTTGAGGCGTGTTCAAGTTTGTAAACCAATTCTGAGACAAAATTGTCACGTGTTGGGTGTGTCGCGCGACAAATAAGTTCACGCCATTTTGGATATAGTGAATTTATTGCACATTCGCTCTCAGTTATCGCTCGCTATAAAATCTTCTAACCACCCGTTTGGTTCTTCTTTCCGCGACTGCTGCTATGTTTCAACTAACTGCTTAGTCAAAGTCAAAGTCACATTGCAACTGATGGCCAGTCAGTAAGTCTTGGTATTGAGCACCCTGCTGGGGCTCATGACCAGATATTTATTACTGTTTGACAGTTACAGTCTTGTTTTTTGAGGGCGCCCTCTCTGATGAAAGGACGGGTCTGTCTTTTTTATATGCTGTTGGTCCCCGCCAGCGCAGTCTTTCTCCTATCTGATTAGGCATTCCCGTCTTCTTATAAACCCTCAGTCGGACAGCAGAAAACGCACCTCGCTTCCCTGTTACGTAATCGCCGTGTTTACAGGCGTTGCTGGGCAATGCTGCCAAGAGTTGTTTATTGCTGTGTAGTAACCGAGGTGTCCCCTATTACGTCACTGTGGGAAGTGCTGTTACATCACCACGGGAGGCGACGGAGTGTTTACGAGCGTTGCATAATGATGGAAGGAGGGGGAGTGTGTGATGTCACCCGTGAGACCGCAGAGTTCAAGTGACCCTTACATCCTCTTGCACCATCCACGTCACAATATATATATACACATAATTATACCTCCATGTCTCACGCATATATTTAAAAATCATCACAAATTATATCGTCCTTTCATTGTTACTGACAAAAATTTTCTGCAGTACAGGAAAGCATGCTGCACACTGTGGACAGCATCATTGCTTTAAAATATATAAAGTGCTTTAACATTGATCTTTTTTTTTTCATGAAACTCCACAGCATAAGGAAAATTGAAGGAAATGAATGCCTTTCATACCAGTTGAATTTGGAAATGATCAGCTATACCTAGAGGGTTTACAAATGGGCAGTTATGTTTAATCACGAATTATGATAATTAAGTGACACTTTTGTTTGCTAATTGTTGAAGGCATAAATTACAATTTGGTATTTTGTCTTATTCTTTCACTGAAATATCTGTTTCAAGATATTATCTCTGAGAGTGCAATATTATCTGGAAGTTTACACATGCTGAACTGCCTTACACTATTGAATCACAACACAAAAACTGGTGCTTATCATGTTCCTCAAATATGCAAAAATTTTAGATATATAGATGGAAGGAGCCCTCTCTTCTGGAATAAAAGGCTGTATAGTCTGTTGAAAGTCAACTGACATATTGGAGGAACATGTCACCTCCAAAGGAGTCTGTAAGACTCTTCATAACCTCAAATCCTATGTAGATTACAACAAGACACTTATACTTGCTACTTGCTGATTTCCTGTTTGGCTTTGATCCTGAAGATGGAGGCAGTATGTCCCTCCAATAAGTTGAACTCTTACCAGACCTAAATTCCAGAATTTGATTGAATTCAACCTTTGCAATGTTTCTTGGAGATGATATTGGAATTTAAGAGTGTTTTCATCACTAAATAATCAGTCTTACATCATTACATTCAGTATTCCAGCCAAACAGAAATGTGTTTGATTTGTGGTCAAGTAGGAGCCAGTTTAAATCCCATTTGTATGACAGATGTCTGAAATGTTGTGGTGCAGGCTAAATAAAATGTAGCATTTTGGCATTACTTTTAACGTCCTTTGTACTGTGAAAGTTAAAGCTCTACTGAGAAATATGTTTCCTAATCAGGAGGTCTTGGGGGCGAGAAGACTCGCTGGTCAGCTGCTGCCAGTGCATTGCAAGAAGACTATGACTCACTTGCAGGAGATATACTGATTTGCTGTGGTATAATTGGTTACTTATCCCCACTCACCAGTTCATACAGGTAAATCCTGGATTTAATTCTCAGAATTATGGGGGTTTGGGCTTTGTCTATTGTCCGTTATTCTAAAAATTAGAGAAGACAATTTTTATTGCATATTTACCTTTGTCTCCCTTTGACAATGCCTGGTTTCAGGTATTTATATAATTTTAGTTATACTGACATGGGTTATCCAGTGACTGAAGTTAGCTCTTTCTAAGGGACTCAACAGAGTAGGTGTCTCCTACTCACCTGAGAATGGAAGCAGATCCAGTTTCTGAAGTGTCATGATCTCTAGTTTTCAGAATACAGGATGATGGACAAAGTCTAAAAACCCAATAATTCTAATGTTATACACCATCGACGGAACCCTTCAGGATCTACTTAATTTAATCGTTTTTAACTTGCTTGTGGCAACTTAACCCATAGGTATAGCATTACTTACTCATATTCAGAAGGCGATCAGTTCAAATCTCAGCCAGGTTACTGACTATCCTGTGTGAGGTATTTCATGGTTTTCTTCAGTCCTTTGAGACATGCTGGAATAATACTGTCACGTGTTGGGTGTATAATGCGACAAATAACTTCATGCTGTATTGGATATAGCGAATTTATTCCACGTTCGCTCTCACAATTATACAATTCACAATTTCACAAGTACTACCATCAGCATTATCACAATTACTTCTCCTGGTTCCACTCTCTCTCTGGCGAATAATAGACTGAAACTGACTGGTTACTCTCTCTCACTGACGAATACTGCTGTTATGTAGCTTCTGCACTGACAACGCAGAAAGCACTTGCGTGATAACTTTCACTGTTGTGTGACGTCATGTTTACCGATTGCCTAGCAACAGTCATTGCACGGGCTCCCCTGTTGCATGATGCCGTGTTTACAAAGGCGTTGCTGGGCAATGCTGCCGAGACTTGTTTATTGCTGCGTAGCAACCAGCACACTTCAGCTTGGCTCGGCTTGGCTCACTTTGGCTCTACTCGGCACGGCACGGAGAAACACCGCTTTTCTTACTGTTGCGTAACCTGGCAACTGACTGTTTATCAAGGGTCTGTCTTCGTGGTAACTCATTCCACCTCCTGTTGACCAGCAACGGTTAGACATGTCACAATACCTTCATTAAGCCATGACAGCTTCCTTCCAAACCATTTCTAGATTATCATTCAACATCCATTCATTCAGTGCTCTGTAGCTTAGCTTCTGAAAGCCTTGTTAAATAATGCACAAATAAATAAACATTTGTAATAACAGTATGCAATAAACTCAGCTATATTGGGACCATCATAGGTGTAATAAACCTGTTTTTAGTTTATTTATTAGTTTAGTTATTTTAGTTATTTGATTATTAGTTTATTTAGTTTAGTTTAGTTTAGTTTAGATTCAAGGTTTTCACAGTGGTGATTATGAAGTCTACGGTCTTCTGGAGTGTGACTCTTTGTAGTGTTGTAGAATGTTACGTATGTTTTGGAGGAACATGCTGCCTTCATCTTCAGTGTTAAAATGTAAGGTGAGTGAACAAGCAGCAAGAAAAGCAACCTGGTCCTTACTCTGTTTGTCTAGCTTACCTATTAACTTTAAAGGTGGAGGCAGTATGTTCCGCCAGAATGCTGGTAAACAACCAGACTATGGAGTGTCTTTTTCCAGCAGATTGTACTCTTCAGCTATTCAGTTTGCTGATGTTCATATCCTGAACAGACATTCAAACTTTGTCATGGTTGGTGGAAACATTTTTCCAATTCAGAAAAAAAAAATGTAACATGGCCACTTATATACATGTTATGTACTAATAGTACAATAACCTTAGATTATTATATGTTTTTTAGAATACTATAAACAAATTTGATTAAGATTGCTGTATTCTGGGATGTGACATCATGTGGTCTGATAAATAATTACTGAGGAACATAATACCTTGGTCTCCAAGGTAGACAGGGCAGCATATTCCTCCAAAATGTCAGTAACAATCTAACATACTAAATGGCATGACATCCCAGAAGACGGTAATCTTTGCAGTCACCACTGTGAGAACATCAAGTCTCACTGATTCTATTAATTGATTGTTTTGGATCAATGTGCATATACAAGAATGCAACCTGTAATGGTGCATAAAATTACTTAAAAGATTTCAAAATAATAGCTCCAAATTATCACTTAAGGATTTCTTCAATCATATCTTTATCAGAACCACTAGCATCACCACTTCATCATTGTCATCGCTTTTATTACTATGATAAATCTAAACGTTTGTTTCCTTCGTAAGTTTTGAGGTTTTCACGGCGATGACAATGAAGAAAGTCGTCTTCTGGGTTTAGGCACCGTGTATTCTTAGTTTTGGCCGACGTTTCGGAGGAACGTAGCGCCTCCATCTTCAGAGCAGTACCACAGCTACTGCTCTCCGCATTCCAAGCCATTCAACTGCTCTGAAGATGGAGGCGCTACGTTCCTCCGAAACGTCGGCCAAAACGAAGAATACACGGTGCCTAAACCCAGAAGACAACTTTCTTCGTTTGTTTCCTTCGTCTGAAAAATGTGTATCACATTGATTTGTTTACAGGAATGAATGTGTAGAAGATTGGCACAACTATATAATTGAGTTGAATATTCCCTGCTCACCACAATTTAGTTTCCAGAAGGTCCTAGGCTCAGACATCAAGATTCAGAACTGGAATATTGCAGGACTACCAAGAGATTCATTTTCAATTGAAAATGCAGTTATTGTTGATGTGTCTAGAAGGTACTACTTTTATGTTTATTAGTTCAGATTGACCTAAATAAAATTGAATCTTGTCCCTTCATAGTTTTTTGTACTTTTAGAATGCAAACTTTTGTCTTGATATAGGCACATTTTATATGAATGTTTTAATGATAATGTAGTCCACTTAGTAGTATTGGGAATCTGGACATTTTCTATTGTCTTGTAGTCTGAATGGCACACAGCATTTCTTAAACTGGATCTGTTTCCATCCTTGGGTGAAAAGGGAGGCTCCTACTCAGCTGGATCCAATAAAGGTAATCTCAGCCACTGGAAAAGCTGTAGGAACTCAGGAAGATATTGGTTTTGTAAAGTAAGTAAAAAGTAAAGCTATCCCTGTAACAGGCCGTGAAGGTCCATAGGGTTGTGAGACGTTAAGGGTCCCACATTACCTTGACAATCAGCTCAGAGATGGCGGTAAGGTTGTCAGCCTTATGCACCGGCCATGCTTCACTCCCAAGAAAAATGATTTAATTAATTATTAATTAATGAAATGGAACTTAAACATATGTTGATATTATTTTTAATGTAGTTAAATGCATACAGTGGAACCTTGCTTAACGAGCATAATTCATTCCAGAATCTTACTCGTAATGTGAAACACTTGTTAAGCGAAACAATTTTTTCCATATAAATTAATGTAAAATATGATAGTGCATTCCATGTCGAAAAGAATACTCAAAAATTTTATGTATAACGTTTATTCAAAGAAAATTATACATGCATTGTTAAGGAGCGTGAATCATCTTCATCTTTTCTTCTATGCAGAATGAACCAACCTGGAATGCGAATTCAATTTGCAGGAAACAAAAAAAAATCGAAGTAATTGGTTTATTATTTATGATACATATCTAATTCGTTTTTACTAGAAAGCTGTCTAGACACTTCAATTTGGTGAAAATGCGACACAGCATTATCATTAAATAAATTTGTAGTGCGCAAAGCCACTGCCTTATTAGGGTGATGCTTCTCAGTGTACGATGCAACAGTTTCCCATGCTTTCAACATTTCTCTTATTGCGCCAGAAGATTGTTGCTTTGCTGTTACCTCCTCCTCCTCCTCTGACAAACTCTCCTCCACAACTGCTTGCTGTGAAACACAATGCAACTCCATAAGCTCTTCGGGGTTAGCTCTTGGCTGTGCTCTTCCACAAGCTCATTGATATCATGGTTATCCACCTCCAGCCCCATGATCTTGGCCAAAGACACAATCTCGTTGACTACAGGCCAGGTACTATCTCAAACCCCTCAAAGTCACATTCAACAACGCTCTCCGGCCAAAGCTTCTTCCAAGCAGAAGTGAGGGTTCTCTTGGTAATCTCTTCCAATGCCTTTTTGATCATCTTGAGGCAGGCAACGATGTGGAAGGGATACTTCCAAAACTCTCTGAGAGTGAGTTGGTCCCTTCAGTCACCTCAAAGCAACGCTTGAAGAGTGCTTTAGTGTACAGCTTCTTAAAGTTAGAAATAACCTGCTAGTCCATAGGCTGGAGTAACAGAGTGGTGTTGGGAGGCAGAAACTGGATCTTGATGAATTTAAATTCTTCAAGGAGGTCATCTTATAGGTCTGGAGGATGGGCAGGAGCGTTGTCCATAACAAGCAAGACATGGCAGATTCATCTCAAGCAAATATTTTTTTCACAGAAGGATCAAACACTTCATTGATCCAATCAGTAAAAAGGTCGCGTGTCACCGCCAGGTGAGAGAAGATGGATGCCAGCCACAAGGAGATAGTGGCCGAAAGCAAACCTGAAATGGATGTAGAGATGACAGCCTGCCAAGATGCAATGGAGGTAAATCTAGAGAAGTTGGAGACAGATCCAAGAGAAAAGGAGGATATAGTGGAGCAGCAGAAGATTCCTAACAAAGAGGTTGCAGTTCACTACCTAAGGGCATGCCGAAACTAGAGAATGGCCTGCCAAGAAGTGATGGAGGCAGATGCAGAGAAGATTGAGCCTGATTCAGAAATGATGCAGTCCATAGTGGAGCATCAAGAAGTACCCGCACAAAACGCCATAGTGATGCCGGTTAGAGAAGCTAAAGAAGAAATGCCGTTGATAACCCGAAAAGAGACGATGGCCTGCTGAGAAATGAAGGAGGCGCGTCTAGAGTAAAAAGAGCCAACCTCACTGGACAGGAAACCTGAGGCAGCAGAGCATTAAGAAGTCCCCGTTGAAGACGCTGTAGTGAAACCGGTCAAAAAGAACGGAAGAGGAGTCACTGGGGCAAGAAGCAAATTGCAGGGTGATCCCAGAGGAAGTTGGCTGCAGCCTGCAGGAAGGTGTCCCGCCATGCAGCAGTGGCATGGCGCAAGAGAAACATCTTCAGGGAAATTTTGACCCAGAGAAAGTGTGGACCGTGGCACGAATTGGCTGCTGACAGAAATATGACCAGCAGTTCAGGTGTGGCATGGCACTAGGGAAATTTCGTAAAGATATATTCAGCCAGGGACAATTCTGAATTCTAAAGGATGAACGGAGGAAAATAGGTGCTGGAAAGGCACTCAATGCAAATGAGACTAGAGGACCTAACCACGAACGATCAGAACAGTGATCACGCCTGGGAAGCGGAGAAACGAGCAAGAAGACAGTCAATAAGATTTTCAGAAGAAAGATCGCGATAAAAGTAGTCAGTGCTTTCAACGGATTACAAAGAATGAGAGAATGTATTTTGTGGAGGGGTCGACCCCCTCCAAAACAGAAAAAGAGACTGCAAGCAGAGGAGGAACTGGTAATGTAGAATCACCGGCCTCCCCGTCATGAATGGAGAATGAAAGATGAAGAGTAAATGAGAGTGACTGGTAGTACAACTGGACCAGCTTGCACCCTAGCATGGAGCTGCTCAGGATGAGCATCCTTCAAAGAGGGGGTGGATGCCGTAGAATAAACACCACAGAAGAGACCTGGAGAACAGCAAGACCGAATGAAGATGTTGCTAGCAGGAATCCACAGAAACAACGGAAAGAAAAGGAATGGGGATGCACCGTTAGGCTATTCTGGATGAACAGCCATAAGGAGGGATCAATGTGGCTTATTGGCTCTATGCAGGAACTGTTGAGCCACAGAGGCCTCGGAGCATGTTGCTAGGCAACAAGTCTGTGAACGCTTGGATTGCGCAACAGGAAGTGCGAGTGGCGTCACATACCCGCACTCATCCCGTTGCTGCCCGACGCTCAGTAGACACAGCTGACAACAATACATGATATCTGTTGCCAGGCAGCAATGTGTTTTCTATGTGGTCCATGCCGAGCATATACAGGAGCAGTGAACGCTATTCAGGCAGTATTGAGTATGAGTTAAGAGCAGTTATGAGCATTTAAGAGAAGTTAGAAGTGGCAGAACAAGCGAAGTGGAACCAGGACTACAGAAGGTTGCCTGTGAGGATGCCAATTGTGGTTTAGAAGACTTCATGTATTCACCAAACAGTGGATTAAAATTTCTGGTGTATGTAAATTAGCAGTAGTGCTGTGTATTAGTGTGTAATTGAGAGAATGCGTGTAACCAAGCTGTTCATAAATCCAATCATCCAAACTAGAACCCATCATTCCATTACCCGTACTTCCTACACATGACAATATATATCAGTTTATGTGTGAGTCTTCTGTAACTTGTTTTTACAGATTTTGTGTATGTGTTTCTAATGTGTCTAAATGCTTTCCTTTTTCCTATGTTTTTTTTTTGCTGTTCATTTTATCAGTTATGGTCCCATATGTGTGCCCCATGTTTAATATATGGTTTGAGTACCCTGATTTGTCACTGTTGTTCTTAATTGCTTGTGTATGCTCTTCAATTTAGTGTGGAATGTGTCCTGTTTGTCCTATATATTTCATTGAATAGTATAGGCATTTGAATTAATAAATGCCACTATTGCCATATTTACCTATCTGTGACTGGATTTCTACTAAGTGTTGTATCGTTTCATGTTCAAAAAGATATTTTTACTTGTGTTTCTTTAAAGAATTTTGTAATGTTCCTTGTTTCTTCACCATTATATATGAAAGTAGCCAATTTTGTTTCTCAGTGTTGTGAATTTACATTTTCTTTGTGTGAGTTATGGTGTGTTGTGACTTGGGTTATATTGTATTCGTTGTGCTGAAGTATATTTTTTATGTTGTTTAACTCCCTTTTCATTGCTTCTTTTATTATTGGATGTGTAATCGATTTGTTAGGTACTTAATACTTGGTATTTTATGTTCATATGGGTAGTAGAAGTCATCAGGTATTGTCACATGTATTAATGATTATAGATGGGGTTTGGATTGGTGAATAAATCTATTGATTACTCACAGTTCATAACTACTGGTTTACACACTCTGAAGATTACTGTAACTACAGCACACACAAAATGAAGTCTCCTATGTCGTCATTCACTAGGCATTTCCTGATAACAAACCTTAGCTGGTTAACACTTTACACCTGAACACTCAACTACTGAACTGTCTTCTGAATTCTCTTATGAATCAATGAACGAATTTAACTCTACAAACAAACTTTCTTATGAATTAACTCTTGAAACAATTATGTGTCCTGCTGTTATAACTTCGAGGTGAACCAACCATAGATCACCATCTCAAACAGTTCCCCTGTTATTATCTGTTTTTCTGTTGCTTCGGAACATGCCTAGCCACTTGGTACCCAGCAATGGAGGTCCTTCCACTCTTTACTGCAAAACCTTGGGACCGTGTTTACTGAAACATTGTCTAGCAATGGCTATATTTGTCACAGTATTGTAGTGTCTCATTGTGTATGTTTTCTGTATATTGCATACTCTAGCTTTGTTTCCTTACAGTTTATTGTAGATCTTTATCTATTTTGAATTTTATGTTGTCTTGTTGTTTACTAAATTCTTGTTAAGGTTTTGTCCTTGCTTCCATTTGGTCAAAAATGATGGAAATATTGTTTACATATCTAAAATATTCAATTATTTGATATTTTATTAAAATTGAGTATATTTGTTTGTGGTCTGTATATTGGATATGTTTCTGCCAGTATTGCAGATGTTGGTGCTCCCATGGCCAGTTCATCAGTTTGTTTGTGGTATTGCTAATCATACTGAAAACAATTCTGTTCTGTTGCAGCATTGAGTACATGTATCATTTCTTTCTTGCTTTATTCTTTGGCAATTTTCATCTATTTCTGAGTTAATTTTTAGTCCATTAGTTATAATATTCATAGTACATAATTATGGTATATTAATGTAGAAATTCTCTATGTCAAATGAACACAATATCATATCTTCATTGAATTCCATAGTTTCTAAGTCTGTAGTTAGATGAACAGAGTTACATATGTTGTATACATACAAGGTCCGTATAAAAAGTATCAGGAAAATAGATTTATTTCAGATATTGCTACAATGCCTCAAACTTCTTCAAAATACATCACTTGTGCATCGATACACTTTTGGCAACGGCGTTTCCACGACACGAAGGCTCCCTGGTATGCGGATTCCGGAAAGTCCTTAAGGGTCTGCGTGCAAGCCTCTTTGACGGCACTCAGGGTCCCATGATGGTGCCCTTTGAGGGAGGATTTCACTTTTGGGAACAGGAAAATGTCTGCTGGTGCCAAGTCGGGACTGTAGGGGGGTTGGGGTACCGTCGCGATGCCGTTTTTTGTCAGGTAGTCGGTCACCTTGGAGCAGGTGTGACTGGGTGCATTGTCGTGATGCAATTTTCAATTTCCGGCGATGGCTGGCCTCACCCGATTGACCCTTCTCTTCATTTTTCTTAGCACTTCCAGGTAAAAAGCTCCATTCACTGTTTGCCCCTCAGGTACAAATTCGTAGTGGACCACCCCCTGGGGGTCGAAGAAAACGATGAGCACATGGTTTTTATTCTGGATTTGCTCATTCGCGCCTTTTTTGGACGAGGTGATGCCGAAGTGTGCCATTCGGAACTTTGACGCTTTGTTTCCGGGTCGTACTCGAATATCCAACTTTCGTCTTCCGTGATGACGTTGTCCAGAAAGCCGGGGTCTTCCTCAACGCGTTGCAGAAGGTCTTCGCAAGCAGCCATTCGTCTCTGCTTTTGGTCGTCCGTCAAGACCTTTGGGACGAGTTTCACGCAGACCTTTCGCATCGCCAAATCTTCAGTGATAATGGTGTGCACCGTCATCTTATCAATGCCAACACGATCTGCAATCATGCGCACACTTAACCGACAGTCTGAATTGAGTACGTCACGCACACGTTGCACGTTGTCGTCGGTTCTTGACATCGACGGCCAGCCACCGCGGGTCTCATCCTCCACACTCTGTTGGCCACTTTTGAAGAGCTTGTGCCACTTAAAAACTGCAGTTTGTGACATGCTTTCATCCTTGAACACTTGGTGAATCATGCCCAACGTCTGCGTACCCGATTTCCCCAGTCCAACACAAAACTTGATGGCGTACCTCTGTTCAATCGTTTGCTGCATTCTGCGCTTGCACCGACTCACTTGACAGGGGTCCACTGAAAACACGGCCTGGCCTCTACGAACGCGCTCAGGCAAATGGTGCTTGGCGCGTGTTAAAGGTTAGACCCCCACTACCACGCCTGCGTGGTGCGAGCGTGCTGCGGTGTACAGTCACGTAAGGGAAAGATTTTTCCCGATACTTTTTATACGGACCTTGTATGGTAGGAGTAGGTAATTGCATGATATTTATGTTAAATATTTCATTGATTTGTATGCAGTTGCATTCTTCCAGTTGGTTATACGTCTACTGGGTATGTTTTGTTTGTGTAGCTTTATTGTGGCATAGAGGTTAGGAGTCATGGGGTTCGTATTTGTGTATCTCCATCTGTTATCTTTCGGAATAATGTTAAGAATTGTTTTAATGTTTGTTTATAGTTTTGTTAATGTTGTGTTGGATTAATGTTAGGTATTGCGAATTGGTTATTGTGTAAAAGTCTTTTCACTTTGTGTTTGTATTCTTCTGTTGTGAGAATAAGTACTGTTTTTTCTTTTGTGTGCTTTTGTTAAAGCAAGATTATTTGCTGGTTTTTTTGTTTTTATATCTTATTAATTTCTATTCTTTTTTTGCTCTTTATGTATATTTTTATTTTCTTGGTTCATCTTTTGTGATTGCATGCCTGTAGTATTGTTGTTCTATAGCAAGACAATTTATTGCAGTCTAACCAGTTTTTTTCTGTTTGTAGTGTAAATAAAACTTCAGCCCTTTATTTAGTGGTTATGTTTCATCTGGTGTAAAATGTGTATCTGTGAAGTATATTACCCTAGGGTTATTTGTGTTGTTAGTTATTTTTCTTTTTGCGATTTAGATAGGTTGCATATTTTTTTGTTGTTCCTGTTGTATTTTTTTATATTTCATTTTTAATTTTTATTGAATGATTATTTTATGTTATTCAAATGTGTGTGCATTTTGTATATTTGTGTCATAGATTTATGAATGTAGAAAATCAAGTATTAACTACCTAACAAATTGATTACACACATATGACAAAACAAAGACATATATCCTGAAAGAGTTAAGCATTTTAAGAATAAGAAATTAAACTTCGAATTTTAAAATCATTAGTGTAAGTTGCATGGGAGACAGAAGTGAATGCTTTGGATCAAGAGTATTTTTGAGAAAATTACTGCTTGTACTGGAGGCATTTAAAAGTATTTTAACACTGGATGCTCAATCTGTAGTTCATGTAAGGTATACTGACCATGTGGTTATTACCTGGAAGGGTGACTTCATAGTTATATGTCATAGTGAACAGTCCTTTTAAGGATCATTTGAAAAAATTGTATTTTGAATGGTTCCTGGTAGAGGGCTATGTTCTGAAAACACAAGGGAAATAAAGAAGCCCAATATAGAACTGCTGTGCCAGATGACCAAGACCATGGCACCAGATCTCACCAGAAGTAAGAGCCAGAGGATTTAAGAACTGCAATGTATCTGTTGAATGGATGGAATTAAGGATGAGGAAGAAGTTGGGAATGTTGGCTGTAAATATGAGAGTGTGAGTAGTAAATGTAAGAGAGAAGACTGGAATCATGAAGAGACTGAAGTTGAAATGTTGAACAGAGTGAGACTAATTTGATTTGTGAGACTCATGAAGCTGAGTAAAGGTTAGAGATTTCAAGAAGGAAAATAACTTTATGAATTTCGTGTATAATATATTATCTAATATTCATATTCGTTTGGGAGCTGGGGTAGCATAGTTGGTATAGCGATTGGCTACGTGCTGGACAACTGATGGTCAGATTTTGAGTCCTGGTAGGGTCATGGATTTTCTTTTCCCCATGTCATCCAGACCAGCTCTGGGGCCCACCCAGCCTCCTATTCAATGGTCACTGGGCGCACTTTCCCCAGGGGTAAAGCATCTTGGGCGTGAAGCTGACCACTCACCTCCAACTAGTGCCGAGGTCAAGAGAATGTGGTTCTGTACATCCACTTCCCCATACACCTTCATGATATCATGCTTAATTAGATAAGCACAGGGACAACTTCATTTTTTTCACCTGTTTATAGTAAGAGTATGAATTTTATTTGTAAAATTACTTTTTTTTTTTTTTTGTGCATACAAGTTTCCTAGTGTGGGATCAACATACATTTGGAACCATGTTCCCTCTAGTTCATTGTGAAAATTCCCCATTAAAATGAAAAATTGGTCTGCTAGAGAAGATTCTCATTCTTATCCCAGTTATTGAATCTCTTCCAAATTTTTGTTTTGATTAGAAAAATAATTCTCATTTATCCTGAGTCAAATGATTTTGCAATTGTCAGTTTCTTAGATAATCAGAGCTATATTTGAGTGTCATGTAAATATAGGTTTATACTAGACAAGAGAATTTAGTGTGAACGTGTGAATGTAATCCATATTCTAATTACTTGTTTGGAGCTGAGACATGTGGTTGTGTGGACAATCAGATGCACCCTCCTCCTTATGCATTCTGTTTATGCATTTTGTGAACCCAACTTGTAATGAAAATGGAATAAATAATTATTGTCTTGTCTGTTACAGATATTCACTACTTGTAGATCCTCAGGGGCAAGCTAACAGGTGGATAAGAACTATGGAGAAAATACATGATTTGCACATTATTAAATTCTCTGACCGTAATTACATGAAGGTTATTGAAAGTGCCATTGAGTTAGGCAAGCCTGTGCTCCTGGAAAATGTGGGTGAGGAGTTTGAAGCACCACTGGAGCCACTGCTTAAGAAACAAATATATCATCAAGGTACAAAATAATAAGTGTTATGAAATAATGATGACTCTGTCCTGTACAGACTTCATATCAGAGTATCCCATTTGATTTTCCATGGAATAGCACCATGCTCCACACCCGTACCCTTCCTCAAGACCTGTGTATCAGACCACATCTTTTCTTATTCATACTGAAGATGGCAGCTGCAGCAAATGCTGAAACACTGGGACAGCAACAACAAATAATTGAGATGTAACCTGATACCCAGCATTATACACCAGATCCATATTGAACCATGTACTTTGATATAACAATGCCTTGGTGTAAAACAGAAATACATTAGGCCCCCTGCTATGCACATACATGTCGTATGAGTCATATCTAATGGTAAATTAGTACATTCAAGCAGACACTTACCTCTTGCTTTCAGGTGACAAGAGTTACATCAGTCTAGGTGAAACTGTGTTGGAGTACAGTGACCAATTTCGCTTCTATCTTACTTCAAAACTGAGAAATCCTCATTTCTTGCCAGAAATTTTCAACATTGTAACAGTTGTAAATTTTGCACTGACTCTGGAAGGACTGGAAGATCAACTACTTGGAATTGTGGTGGCCAAAGAAAGGTAATATATTTTTATACCTGTAACACAGTTGATATATTTAAGATATGTTTTGAAATTGAAAGAAATGTTGGGAAGTAGTTTGACCTATGGTCCGGCCTGTGCAGATTTTATGGTACTGTATGTGTAAATACCACTAAATTTTTGAGAAAATGAATAAATAATTAATAAGAAGTTGTACCATTCATTTTAATACAGGTGTGCGTGTGTCCATGCGTGTGTGTGTGTGTGTGTGTGTGTGTGTGTGTGTGTGCGCGCGCGCGCGTATGGTTTCAGACCATGTCCACGCCAGTAAATTCATCTGTACTTTAATCAGCATCCAAGCAAAGTATCACACTGTGGCAGGTAGACCCCTTTTGAGGCAGCGGCCCACAAACCACCAGAGAAGAGTGTTTCTTTTTTTTTTTGCCTGACCCATCAAGCCACAGTTAAACTGCAACAGTGGAACTTCAGGCCAAGATGAACTGATTGGCAGTAAACTACCAGTCTTAAATTGGCTCTGACTCTGATTATGAATGAGTTAGTTGTGGAACATTCACCAGCCAGTAAAAACATGAGCACAGAAGCAGAGGACACTGTTGGGATCTCTCACCAGGCAACGGCTGGCGAAGACACAGCAGACTAAAGATTTTGTACATGCTATAGTGAACTACAGCATGTGTGAATCAGCCATAGCATTATACTTGTTGTTACAATCTGAGCATTTAGTAAATCCAATTACCCATCCAGACCATGTCTACAAATTCTATCACGTGGCAATATTTAAATTTTTTAATATTAGACATGACAGTCATAATAAAGGAGCGCCTTTTACTAACTTTCCATAATATAAACCATGTGTCAGATTAATATTAAGTGTTTGAAAATTAAATTATAAAAGGGCTTTACTTTCTTATAATGACAAAAAGTAATGATTTCATTTTTTCCTGCACTCTGTTTAACCTTTGTTGGCCATGAGTTGCATTGATGGAGTGGTGTACCTGCACTCTTTCTGATCGTATGGTGTTTTTAAAAAATCGTGTTCGGAACCAGCCTACAGCACCTATGGCACTGATTTTCTGCACTTTTCTGTACAGACTTCTCTTATGATCACATGCTGTGAATTATATATAAACACTCACCCTAGCATGATCGTTCTTACACTGAAGGATTTAGATTCCAATCATGACCCGTCCTCGTCTTTGATTTGTCAACACACCATTTGCACTGGTTCAGGGGCCTGCATCTCTGAGATAGCAGCATCTGAATGAGCTAGGAGGAAGAAGAAAAAATTTTTGGCACATGTCTGTATTGGGGAACCGGGATAGGGCAGTCAGTATACTGATTGGCTATGGGCTGGAAGACTGAGGGGTCAGATTTTGAGTCTCAGTAGGGGGCAAGAATTTTCTCTTCCTCATGTTGTCCATACCAGTTCTGGGGCCCTCTAGCCTCCTGTCCAGTGAGTGCCAAGGGTTCTTTCCCAGGGGGTAAAGCGGCCGGAGCGTGAAGCTGACCACTCACCTCCAGCTAATATTGAGGACAAGAAAACGTGTTCCATACTTTGACTTCCCCATACACCTTCTTGGCATAGTGCTTAATTAGTTAAGCACAGGGACAACTTTACCTTTACATGTTTGTACTGGAGGTGGGGATCATATATGGGCTGATATATGGCACAGCTCTGTTATGGTATTGGCATATACTTGAGAAATGAAACTCAATACGCAACATAGATATATATTAGCTATAAACTGTTTTGGAACCATGTGATAACATTTTAATCTCTGTTTATGAAAAGGTTTCTATCATCTAGGATGAAGTGCCCTGTAGTCAGAAAGAAGTTGTTGATAAATGATACAAATTCCGTCCCAAGTGCAAACAATATATATTATATGTCTTTGATCTTGTTCTTTCTACACTACATGTTTCGGCCTCTATCGGCCATCATCAGGTGTATACTCTTAACGTTACTGCCACACTGAACCCGGTCTAAAATTTAACATTTAGAAACACAATGTCACATTGTGAGCACACGTAGTACAGACAAGCAGCGGCACCCACACAAGAAGACTACATTAAATAACACCTGTACAGTGTGAAAACAAGAACTAGCCGCTCAAGCACTTAGACATAGGGCGTGTAACCCTAAGAATTTTAAATTTTAAATTTAAAATTTAGGGAAAAATTTTAAAAAGTTTTTAAAAACATCATAACTAAAGATTTTTAAAGTGCTACTACAAGAACATCAAAATTGGACGTGTGCAACATAATCTACATACCAGACACATATCAACGATGTAGATGTTGATAATACGAAGAATGTGACATTGTGTTTCTAAATGTTAAATTTTAGACCGGGTTCAGTGTGGCAGTAACGTTAAGAGTATACACCTGATGATGGCCGATAGAGGCCGAAACATGTAGTGTAGAAAGAACAAGATCAAAGACATATAATATATATTGTTTGCACTTGGGACGGAATTTGTATCATTTATCGTATAGAGTGCAACAGGATGCTTAAATATAATATTGTAAAAAGTTGTTGATATTTCAGAGAAATTTGCTGCCTTCATCTTCAAGGTAGAAGGGGGGACCAAGCACGGAAGAATGTGTTATTTGTTAATAACTATAACTATAATTGTTTTATACAATTGTGGTAATGAGTTGATTACTTATTTCTTGTGTTGATGGTTTTACATACATACATGCATGCACACATGCATATTCATATACACAACAGGATGCGTTCCTTGAAGATTTTCTGAGGGTGCTACTTTATCTTAGTCACAATTGAACGACCAGTCAGTCCATTGTGGACCTCACTTGGAAGGGATGCTGTACACTTCGAGTGTCTTTAACCTTAGGACATCCTGAAGTGTCCAAAGGGAACAAGAAATTTCTCTTGTCATCTGACTTAATGTTGCATCTGTACAGCGCTCTGCTAATGCAGTTTCCTCGGGAGAGATGAGAGTCAGGAAAATCAGCTCTCACGTCTCTTCATGAGATATCAAATATGATGAATGGACAGACGCTTGTGGAACTGTAACATATTAATATTTTAATTGTTGTCATTCTCCTTGTTTGGAGATGTATTGTATGTATATGAGACCAGCTAAATTTCTAAGTGATAACTCCAACTGACTTGGTCCTTTCAAATATTTTCTCTTTTCATGTGATATAAATATTTGGTTTTACAGACCTGACCTTGAAGACAAACGACAGACCCTTATTGTTCAAAGTGCTGCTAACAAGAAAGCACTGAAGGAAGTTGAAGATAGCATATTGGTAACTTTGTCTCAAACAAAGGGCAATATTTTGGAAGATGAATCTGCTATTGAAGTTTTGGATTCATCAAAGGTATGTCAGTCTAGGTGGAATTTGGTATTACATGTACCACTTCACTACTCATATAACTGGTATCATCTTATGCCCTCATATTAAGACCCATAATTACCTATGCTGTCACTATGTGGTGGCCTAGTGTTAAACTCAAGACAAGTCAGGCTGAACTAAGCAAATTGCAAAGGACAGCCTGACTGGGAATTATGGGAGCAATGAGAACAGCTCCAACAGCTGCAATGGAAATCCTACTAGGACTCCCTCCCTGCATCTTCAGATGGAAGCAGAGGCCAGGTTAGGAAGTTACAGATTACGTTGAAATGATCAATGGAGACCAGAATCGGAAGGTTTTGGACATGCATACATGATTCAGGACATGAAAAAAGAACCCATCCTACAGATGGGGTCTGATAAAATGATACCAAAACATGTCTATGATAAACCCTTCACGATCAGATTTCCTGATAGAAGTAAATGGAAAGAGGGGTTTCAACCCAATAGGAAAGTGGGACTAATCTGGTATATAGATGGTTCCAAGACAAATAAAGCACTGGAGCTGGGGTGTATTGTGATGGAACAGGGTGGAAATATAATTTTGGCCTTGGTCAGTATACAACAGTATTCCAGGCAGAAGTGTATGCCATTAAGGCATGCACAGTTGAGAATTTAGATAGAAACTACAAAAAATAGCAATATCTATATTTTGTCAGATAGTTACGCTGCAATTAAAGCACTTGGTACACACCAAATCACTTCAAAATTGGTTTGGGATTGCCATCAATCCCTCATACAACTGGCCAGACATAACAGAGTTCAGCTGATATGGGTGCCAGGCCATGAGGGTATTGCTGGGAATGAAACTGCAGATGAGCTTGCAAGAACAGGATCTGAACAGCCATTCATAGGACCTGAACCAGCATGTGGCATCTCAGTAGGAGAGTATTGCTAGGAATGAAACCGCAGATCAGCTGGCAAGAACAGGATCTGAAGAGCCATTCATAGGACCTGAACCAGCTTGCGGCATCTCAGTAGGAGAGTATTGTTAGGAATGAAACCGCAGATCAACTGGCAAGAACAGCATCTGAAGAGCCGTTCATAGGACCTGAACCAGCTTGCGGCATCTCAGTAGGAGGGTATTGTTGGGAATGAAACCGCAGATCAACTGGCAAGAACAGCATCTGAACAGCTGTTCATAGGACCTGAACCAGCTTGCGGCATCTTAGTAGGAGGGTATTGCTGGGAATGAAACCTCAGATCAGCTGGCAAGAACAGGATCTGAACAGCCGTTCATAGGACCTGAACCAGCCTGTGGCATCTCAATTGGAGTTGCTAAGAAAGTGATCAGAGACTGGGCTAACAGAAATCACCAAAAGCACTGGGAATCAACAACTGGACTCAAAGAGGCAAAAAAATTTATATCAGGACCCTCTGCCAAAATAACGAGGGACCTGTAAAAATTAAACAGAGATCAACTAAGATTGGGGGTAGGATTACTTTCAGGATACTGCCACCTGAAAGGGCACCTTTTAAAACTGGGACTGACAGATGACCCAACCTATGAAAGATGCCTATAAGAAGATGAATCAACCACACACACATCTTATGTGACTGTGAGGTTATGGCTTACCTAAGATTTCACCACCTGGGTCAGTTTTTCATGGAACCAAGTGACTTATGATGCCCCCATAAATAAAGTCCTACATTTCATTCAAAGTGTAGGATTAATAAAGGGTTAATACAAAGGGGAAGCACAATGGATTATTGAAGGTTGTGGTGCGAATGCTGGATTTTACGGCCCACCCCTCATACTCGTACTCATACTCATACTCATACTCACCTTATGCCCTCTCACACTATATTGTAAGATGAATATCTATGATTACTGATCAATTTTCTTGTATATATTTACATGTAAATTAAAAATGCAATGATATTCTGACAGAAAATGTCTTCATGATCCTTTCTCATGTTTATCTCTGTTACTGCAGATGTTTCCTGAGATATTACTATGACAAAGCCCAGTTAAACTATTTAACATTCCATTCTACTAACAGTGGACAACCCCATGCATCTCTTACGCAGAATTAACTTTACATGTGTCTCTATTTCATGTATGTTGAACTATTCATACACAGCAGTAAGACTCCATTTTCAAGAAAATCATTGCTTTCTATTGTCCTTTCACACTTTGTATTTTGGCACAGGGCATATTAATGAAAAGAGAGGATAACACAGTGAAACAACCATGGACATATAATTTACTTGAAGATGGCCATATATGACTAAAACTTGTTTGCATTAGTAATGCGAACAAATGGATGAAATATGACAGTGTGACAATAATAATGTAGCCATTGAACATTTACAGAAGTTGCATTATAAGACCAAAATAAACAACCGAGTACTAAAGGATACTTAAATATACGATGGGGTACCCAAAAGGAACCTAACTAATTTTTTTGTGGGCAGGGCTTTTGTAGTACCGCGTTTTGCCGCTATGAGCGCATAGAGCTAACATTCCTGAGTTGATAACCCGACTACCGTTGCTTCAGAAGGTAAGGACTAGTTTCGGCAGAGTTTATAGTGACAACTGTTTTGTGTGATCGTTGTTTTTGCAATGGNTGAAATCATCAAGGAAGATCGACGACGGACCATTGAAGAAATTGTGGAGCTGTCGGGAGTGACTTGGAGCTCAGTTCAGCGAATTTTGACAGAAGATTTGGGAATGAAAAGGGTGGCTGTGAAATTCGTGCCACGACTGCTGACTGCTGAACAAAAACAAGGTCGCGTGGAAGCATGCTGTGCTTTGAAAGAAGAGTCCCGACTTTTTTTTGTTTCCTCGAATGAAAAGAGACATGAAAGGAAAGCGTTTTGCTGATGTTGCTGAGGTGAAGGAAAAAACGATGGAGGCGCTGTCAAGCATCTCAAAAGATGAATTTAGACAATGTTTTGAAAAATGGAATAAAAGACTAGACAAGTGTATTAGTGTAAGTGGAGAGTACTTTGAAGGGGATTGAAGGTTTGTGCTTAAAATTTGAATAAATAAGTTAAAAAAAAATAAGTTCGGTTTCTTTTGGGTACCCCCTCGTAATGTGACATGAGGGCTGAAGGCTGGAATAATGGATCCAGGAGAGATGGCCGTTGCTAAGTAATGACTGGTAAACACATTTCCACGGCAACAATCATGTGATGCCAATATAGAGAAATGTCAGAAGCGGTGTTTTCTATGTGGATCTTGCCAAGGACATACAAGGAGAACCAGCTGGAGTTCTTTGCCAGTTGGGAATGTGCGAGTTGCCAAGGCAGTTGCTAGCCAGTGAGGGCAGGAGCCATTGAACACAGAAGCAGAGCCTTAACCTAGCAATGGCTGGTGAAGATGAGCTAAGAAGAATGTATACCTAGCAACTGCCTTATTAACATATAAAAGAGCTTCTTTGTTCTCTTTAAGATATTTATGTTTTTGCCCAATAAATTGGCATCGGCATAGTCCAGAAGCTGATGTGTCCCACTAAATTACCATCACTCTTGATTTTCTTGGATCTCCTTAATGGCATATTTAAAAGCAGAACTTGAAAGTCATCAATGATGAATCATCTTTTTCAATTCAGTTCAGTTTTATTTAACCCTTTTGTCAAACTTTTGACATAAGAGATGTCTTATACACACATCAATAAGTACCATAAAGCAGATCATTCTGAATGAGATATGTATCAGACAAATTTTTAGCTGTACATACTTTGCCATGTGTGAAGAGAATGAACACATAAAATAAATAACAGATACAAGAAAAAGAAAGCTGACAATTTACTTGCCTTTGGTTTGAAATATATTGTGGCACATTTGCTTAAGGCAGAACTGTGAAGCCAGCAACGACAAACTTTGCTAGGGAATGGCTCTTCAACAACTTCCGTTGCTAAGCAATGGCTCAGTAGTGATCACGTGGTCACCCCAACAGGTATGAACGCAACAGAGGAAAGCAGCATTTTCTACACAGTCGCTGCCAAGATGTTATAAGCAGGACTAGACACCAACTGCTGTTCATGGCCCTTCAGGAATAATATATCACCTGCAGCAGAAAGCTGATGCAGTTGTGGATTCTTCAGAAAACCAGTTCACATCTCATGACCTTTGTGATGAAAACCATGAGCGATGGGTGGACACTAGAGTCCAAGCTCTGCTTGCATCTGTAGATGACATCCAGTTTGGAAAAGAAAGGCCCTGTGACATACATAAATTAGTAAATTTATTGAAATTGAAAGAGGCTTGTGGACTTGATGGTATTACAAACGAGTGCTTCAGGTGTCTTCTGAAAGACCACTGATAAATCTGACATATTTATATTTAATCACTGCCTTCAGCCATCCCATTTTCAAAAGCCTTGGAAGGAACCAGAAATTATAACCTTATTGAAACTCAGTAAGGAACCAAAATTTTCTAAAAATTTACATCTGGTTAGCCTCTTCTGAAAATACTTCAAAGGCACATTGAAGAAAGAGGCCTACTTAATGCAAGCCAGTTTGGTTTACGTTCTCTTCCCAGCATGACACTTCAATGTATGAGGCTTATGGACCTTGTCACCTGAAATTTCAACAATAACATGTGCGTGGATGTAATATTCTTGGATATTGAAAAGGCCTTTGATACAACATGGCACTTTGGCTTGCTACATAAATTATAGGAATACAAATTTTTTATCAGTCTAATCAAGCTGATTAGCTCTTTTCTTTCTCAGAGAAAATTCAGAATCTTGTTCTAAAGTGAAATATCTGCACCAAGGGATACTAAAGCAAGGGTGCCACAAGGTTCCATTCTGTCCCCCACATTGTATAGAATATATATAAATGATAAGCCTCAAACACCTGCTGTCAATTGAGGTCTCTTTACTGATGATCCCTATATATATGCAACAGGCCACAAAGAAAGTTATGTTCTCAGAAAAATGCAGTAAGGTCTCAGTGCTAGTGAGATGTGGTGTGAGCACAGGAACATAAAAATAAATCATTGTAAGTCTTGGGCCATCTACCTTTCGCATAGACTGAGGCCCCCTGAGGCTCATCTTACATTGAATGGACAGAAGATCCCCCTTTGTCAGTCATGTAAAATATGTCAGCGTAATCTTCAATAAGATCCTTACATGGACACTGCACATAGAAATTACTGGAGCCAAGGCATTCAGAACATTTATTAGAATCTACTTCCTATTCAGAAATGAGAGTTTAGGCATCAACATTAAACTAACCTTCCATAATGCACTGATTAGACCAGTAATGACTTGTGTGCCCATCACCTGGGAAATTGCAAGCAGACACCCACGTTTTAAAATTACAGCACCTGCAGAACAAGGTTCTCTGCATGACTGGAAATCTTCCAAGGGGCGCACCAGCCCATGATATGCAGGCAACAAGCAGAAATCGTACAAGATTATGAGAATCAGCATGATCATAGGCAAAGCCAGACATAGAAAATATAAGAGGCTTAAACTTGGCGGTGGTCAAGCTTATGACCATTCAAGGGACTAAGCTGCTGCTCTAGCATAAGATAAGTAAGACAGCCATCCTCTGCTTTGCAGAGCCTTGACTGGCAGAGGATTTGTATATAGTGCAAAAGAAAGAATTTTCAATAGCATGCTGTGTGTGCGATACTGACACTTGTAAAAGGCCAAGCCTGTTCATAAGAAACAAACCCATTCTCTTGTAAGAGAGGATGTTACATAAGGACTATGACCATAAGGGTTCAGTTAAAATAAAGTTCCCTGGTCACGAACCTCATGGAGCTTGGCTCGAAGACAAACTGATTTGCAGTAAACTGCCAGTTGTAAAGTAACTATGGCTCTGTATTTGTGTTGGTCAGTTAGAGAACTGGCACAGTTAATCTTTATGAACTGTTGTCATTAGAAGCTGGGAATAGTTTGAGGACCCAGAGGACGGGGAACATCCACTGTTAAAAGCTGCTACCAAGCAACGGCTGTGAAGATGTGACTGTGGACACAAGTGTGTTTTTAACAGTGAACTGTGAAGTGTAGTTACATGATGTATCAAAGAGTCCAGTAAATTCAATTATCAATCCAAAACCCATCTATAGTCAGTCCATACACATGACAGTGTGTATTAATAACAATAACAGTGATATTTTACTCCCGCAGATATTGGCTCAAGATATCACAAGGAAGGAGTCATCAGCTAAGGAAACTGCAGTGAAAATAGAGGCTTTTCGTCATAGCTACAGGCCTATTGCCCATCATTCCTCCGTTCTGTATTACTGCATTACTGATCTCCCAAATGTGGATCCCATGTACCAGTACTCATTAGGATGGTTTATTCATTTGTACATTATTTCAATTGAAGGAAGGTAAGTGTATTGCAAGCATTAATATTTTTGTCTCATAATAATGAATCATAAGTGTATAATTCTTATGTTGTACTATGATAACCAGTAGCTAAATAATTCATTTTAACAGAAGAAACAACTGTGTCATTACTGTCAATATTAGGATGCTTTCCATAAAACTAAACAACTGGACCATGGAAAATATCTGCTGTCACATGCATATGGCTACATTACAGTTTGAGTTTAATATATTCTGAGGGAATAAACATGTAATTTACGGTACTCAGTGATTCTTACATGAGGCCAGAAATTTGCTGTAAATAGTCAGTACTGGCAGTCAGGAGCTCAAAAGACTCAGCTCATTTGAACATGAATTTGCACCTTACCGGTAAACAGTAGGACAGTATACTCTTTCTCCATTGCTCGAAGTTTATGCAATGGAATAAAAAATTTAGGTGATATAATATGTAAGATTCATTGCATGTATGTGACAAGGCTTCTTCAGAAATAAATAATGTACTATAGCAGTCTGCAATTATTGCTTAAACTGTATTTGAAAGTGTCAGATTCCTCTCATTTCTGTTTTTAATGAAAGTCTCAGTCAAATGTTTTGTGATGTTTTATTATCAGAAACTTAACGAAATATTTACTAAATTATTCACACATCATTAAGTGGATATCAACAAATTTTTACTTATTGGTACATGTTTTAAAATATGTTTAAACGGAACTTATAGTAAAGTCCATATAGGTAAACACTTGTCTGATAAATTTCCTATCCAGAATGGTCTAAGAGAAGGAGATGCTTTATTTCCACTGCTTTTCAACTGTGGTTTAGAATATGCCATTAGGAAGGTCCAGGGAAACCAGATGGGACTGAAATTAAATGGGACACATCAGCTGTTGGTCTATGCCGATGATGTGACTCTACTAGGTGATAATATACATACCATAAAGAAAAACACACAAACTTTAATTGATGCAAGTAAGGAGGTTGGTCTAGAAGTAAACACAGAGAAAACTAAGTATATGTTGCTGTCTTGTCACCAAAATGCAGGGCAAAATCAAGGCATAAAGATAGGAAAGAGATGTTTTGAAAATGTGGCACAATTCAGATGTTTGGGAATGACAATAACAAATCAAAACTTGATTCAGGAGGAAATTAAGAGGAGATTGAACTCGGCCAATGCTTGCTACCATTCAGTCCAGAACCTTTTATCTTTTTGTCTGCTGTCCAAAAACATAACAATTAGAATATACAAAACTATAATTTTGCCTGAGGTTCTGTATGGGTGTGAAACTTGGTCTTGGACATTAAAGGAGGAACATAGACTGAGGGTGTCTAGGAGAATTTGGACCAAAGAGGGATGAAGTGACAGGATGTTGGAAAAAACTGCATAATGGGGAACTTCCTAACTTGTACTCTTCTCCAAGTATAATTAGAATGATCAAGTCAAGGTGAATGAGATGGGCATGGCATGTAGAACGAATGGGGGAGACGAGGAATGCATATAGGATATTGGTGAGAAAGCCAGAATGAAAGAGACCACTGGGAAGACCAAGGTGTAGGTGGGTGGACAATATTAAAATGGATGTTAGAGAGATAGAATGGGATGGTATGGATAGGATTTATCTGGCTCAGGATAGGGACCAGTGGAGGGCTCTTGTGAACACGGTAATGAACCTTTGGGTTCCATAAAATGCTGGGAAATTCTTGAGTAGCTGCAGATATGGCTTCTCCTCAAGAAGGGCTCAGCTCCATAAGTAAGTAAATATTGGTATATGTTGCTGATGGTCATTTACAATAATTACATATTTTGTATTGAATAAATGTTATAAATCATTTCAGTAACAAATCAAAGCAGGTGGAGAGACGTTTGGATTTTCTACGTGATGCTTTCACATATAATCTGTATTCTAATGTGTGCCGCTCTTTGTTTGAGAAACACAAGTTACTGTTTTCATTCATCTTATGCACAAACATCATGATGTAAGTACCTCTATTAATGTATGTCATATAAAGATTACATATACGAGGGTAATTCCAAAAGTAAGGTCTCCTATGTTTGAAAATATAAAATAAATATTTATTCTCAATTTTGGATACATCAGTTGAATCTTGAACATGTACTCATTTGTCTACATAATCGCCATTTCGGTCGATGCATTTTTGTAGGTGCAGTGGCAGTTTTTGTATGCCCATGTCATACCAGTTCACCTCCATGCTGTTCAGGAAACTTCGAACCTCAGCTTTCACCTCATCGTCGTTGTTGAAGCGCTTTCCAGACAAATGTTCTTTCAACTTTGGAAAGAGATGGTAGTCACTGGGCGCCAAGTCCGGACTATAGGGTGAATGGGTGATGATGTTCCATCCAAACTGTTGCAGTTGAGCGACGGTTTGTCGGGCAGCATGGGGGCGAGCGTTATTGTGGAGAATGCTTACGCCCTTGCTCAACATCCCTCTTCTCCGGTTCTGAATCGCCCGCCTGAGTTTTCTCAGTGTCTCACAATATCTCTCAGCGTTTATTGTGGTCCCAGTTTCCATAAAGTCAACCAACAATACCCCGTTTCGATCCCAAAACACAGTTGCCATGACTTTACCGGCAGACTGTGTTTGCTTGAATTTTCGAGGCTTAGGCGAAGAGGAATGCCGCCACTGACGTGATTGTTGTTTTGTCTCAGGTGTGAAGTGGTACGCCCAGGTTTCGTCGCCTGTGACAATTGAATTCAAGAAGTTGTCCTTTTCGTCAGCATAGCGGCGAAGAAATTCACGGGAAGAGTCAACTCTCTGCCGTTTGTGGTCTTCCGTGAGCATTTGCGGGACCCATCTTGCGCACACCTTCCGATAATTCAACTTCTCTGTCAAAACCCGATAAATGGTGGTTCGGGAAACCTCGGGAACCGAAATGCAGAGATCATCGAGTGTGATGCGCCTATCCTGATGCATGACTCGCTCAATCTTCGCGACTGTCTCGTCAGAAATTGACGGTCTCCCAGTTCTTTTTTCGTCGTGTATTGCAGTACGACCAGATTCAAACTCCCTACACCACTTGCGGGCGTTCTTTATGTCCATGCACGACTCACCATACACTTCCACCAATTGACGATGAATTTCAATTGATTTAGTCCCTTTTGCGTTCAAAAACCGAATAACTGCGCGAATCTCACACGTCGCAGTTTTAGTAATCGGGAGCTCCATTTCTAACGGCAACCATGCCAAGACTGAGCGTCCTAGCTACGTGCGCACATGCTTGGTGGTATTGGGGGGAGTGGGGGAAGCAACGAATGCAACAGGGTTGCCAACAGCCACACGAAAAATTACCCAGCGCTTTGGAGACCTTACTTTTGGAATCAGAAAATTAAATTTGTAATTATTTGTATCATATTAAGCTTTATTGAAAGCATGAATGATTTTGGAAAATATTTTATTTCTTATGTGGGGCACGTGGTAGTGTAGTTGGTTGAGGTACTATGCTACAAGTTGTAAGGTCACAGGATCGAGTTCCGATTAGGTGGACTTTTTCAATTTGCCTAATCCTTCCAGCTGCACTATGGTCGGCTCAGCCTCTGGCAACCTTACCGCCATCTGTGAGCTGATCGTCTAGAAACTGTGGGAAACTTGACCTCTCACAACCCTATGGGCCTTCATGGCCTGTTACAGGGATACCTATAGTTTTTACTTTCAATTTGTTATGTACCTCCCACTGTTTTACAGCATTCATTTCATAATGAGTGTGATTTTAATTACTAATATAACAGACGTTTTAGTTTTATACTCAAAATTTTGGGTATAAATGTTAACAATAATACATAATGCCATCATTTCATTTCTGCTAAAGATTCAAATCTGTTGAGAGTAATTCAGCATAATACAGTCATTAGTAGCTATATATTGCTGTTCAGAATAAACCAGTGTATGAATCCACATACAGAATCTCATTAAAATACCATCACTACACTAAAATTCTGTTCAAAATCTGTGCTCTATATTTTCAAATATTGGCAGTATATTTTTCTGTCCTCTGTCACAGATTCACTTTGATCATGGATCTGAGAAGTTTATAAAGAGCTTGGTATTCCAAAATTCCACAGAAAACATCAGGTTGTCAATGTAGCATATCACCTAGCATACTGCTTACCATTGGCTTGTCCATGAAAATTACACAACATTTATGAAAGTTAAAATACATTACAATTTTTTTATGTTTTGAGATATGTTAATATTACACTCATATTTTAATTCAGTCTTTTATAGACGTTGAATTCTGTTTCATCAGGAAATTGTATATCATACATATTGTCAATGTCAATGTGATGGACAGTACTAATTTGTAGGATTTGAAGTTTTCAAGGCAAATGAGTGCACTAAAATTTCAGGCATTTGCCCACATCATGACTGAGATAAAACCTAACATTTCAGAGAATATGTCTGTCTCTGTTATCAGGACTTACATAAAAATCATTCATGGTAAGACTTGGGCCATCTACCTTTCACATAGACTTAGGCCCCCTGAGGATCATCTTACATTGAACGGACAGAACATCCCCTTTGTCAGTCATGTAAAATATCTCATATTACATATGTAAATGTTGAAATTTACCCTGATGATGGAGAAAGATGAGATCTCTGAATCACACAGCTTTTTAGGAAAACTATAATGTGTCTGATCAAGAGTGCACTAATGTTTAGCTTTTTGTTTCATATCCAGCTCTGCAGGAAAATTGGACAAAGATGAATTCATGTTCTTCCTAACTGGGGGAGTTCATTTACAGAATGATATTCCAAACCCTGATCCCAGTTGGGTGGCTGAAAAGACATGGGATGAAATCTGTCATCTAGATAGCCTTCCTTCATTTTCAGGTGACATTTATAAGTATGCATGTACATATAGATTTGAATGCAAAGTGGCAGATTATAGTAACCAAACCAATGTCAAGGATGTGCAGGTACTTCCATACAGAAAAAGTGTATTACATTCTAACCAATTTGAAATTATGTGATGAAGATAGTGTTTGCAGTGAATTATCTTTTATCTTATTTATTTATTTATTTGCTACTTTAATTATTACACCATCTTGATGCAAAAGTTTTATATTAGTACATATGATGCATTGCATTGATATGGATACATATTGGCAGTTCAATGACTCTATGTATTCCTGTATATAACTGCCTGATGATGGTCTTGTATGGCTGAAACGTGTAGCAGCAATGAAGATTGAATATTAAAACTGAGTATATTTGTTGTGTTGACGGTTGATATAATTCCTATATATGTAGGTAAGTCAATAATTATCCGCAATGTAGCTATAAATTTTATTTCAATACAAATAGAAAATTTACATTAACATCATTTTTCAACATAGTCCCCTTGGTTTTCAACGCACTTGGTCCATTGTTGCACAAGCTTCCTGATGCCCTCAGAAAAGGTTTTCGGCTGATCAGCGAGCCATGCACGCACCGCTTCCTTCACTTCTTGGTCCGAGGTGAATCGACGGCCCCTTAATGCCTCTTTGAGTGGACCAAACAAGTGGTGGTCAGAAAGGGCGAGATCAGGACTATATGGAGGATGAGCCATTACATCAAACTTGAGTTTCTGGAGGGTTTCAGCAGTATGTGGACGGGTATTGTCGTGCAACAACACAACACTTTTCAACAGTAGTCCTCGGCGTTTGCTTCGAATTGCAGGCTTTAGCCTGTCAGTAAGCATCTCACTATAATGAGCACTGTTTATTGTTGTGCCCCTCTCCTGATAATGTTCCAGTACTGGGCCTTGTGAGTCCCAAAAAACTGTAAGCATCATTTTCCTGCAGATGGTTGGCTTCTGAACTTCCCTTGCTGGACGATTGTGGATGTTTCCATTCCATACTCTGTGATTTACTCTCCGGCTTGCAATGATGGATCCATGTTTCGTCACCAGTGATGATTCTGTCTAAGAAGACGTCACGTTCGTTACCATAGCGATCCAAATGTTGTTGGCAGATGTCCAAGCGCGTTTGTTTATGCAACACTGTGAGTTGTTTTGGGACCCATTTTGCACAGACTTTATGAAACCCAAGTCTGTTGTTGATGATTTCATAGGCAGAACCATGACTAATTTGCAGACAATTTGACACTTCATCAATAGTCACTCGTCTGTCTAACAGAACCATGTCACGTGCATGCTCAATGTTGTCCTCATTTGTGGCCGTGGATTGTCATCCGGCACCTTCCTAATACGTAACATTTGTGCAACCATTTTTTAATTTTTCAGTCCATTTGCAGACACTCTGTTGCAGCAAAACACTGTTCCCGTATTGTGCTGAAAGTCTTTGATGGATTGCGGCACCTGATACACCTTCCGACCACAAAAACCGGATCACTGAACGTTGCTCTTCTTTGGTGCAAACAGAAAGCAGAGCAGCCATGATTAACGGCAAGGCAGCAACAATGGAACTGACCTAGCAACATGAAAACTGCGCAGAAATAATGAAAAGGAAACCACGAATGGCAATGCTGCGCAAAACCACAGTGCTGCTAACAGAAACACAAATACTTCTGCATTGCAGATAATTATTGACTTCCCCCTCATATATATATATGCTGACTGCAGGCACACAACGGTAGTATAGTTGGTTGAGGCACTATGCTAGAAGCTGGAAGGTCGTGGGATTGAATCCCGGTGAGGTCATTGGATTTTTTTCAGTTAACCTAATCCTTCCAGCCACACTATGGCCCTGGGTTGGCTCAGCCTCCTAACAGAAATGAGTACCAGGAATATTCTTGCAATGTCCTTGGGCTTAAAGGGCGGCCGACGCATAAGGCTGACAACCTTACTGCCATCTATGAGCCGATTGTCTAGAAAATGTGGCAACTTCAACATCTCACAACCCTATGGGCCTTCATGGCCTGTTACAGGGGTAACTTTACTTTTATATATTTGCCGAATAGAGGTTTTACTGTGCTTACTACTTTCCCTCTAAAAGAAACTCATACAGTATATAGAATGGATGACAAGTAAAAATACTTTTAGCTTATGTTTTAAGTCTTTATATCCATTTGATTTTCTTAATTCCAAATGAAGTTTATTATACAATGGTAAGTCAATAAGTAAGTTACAAATGGATATAGAACTTAAACAAATAAGAGTACTGATTTGAAAAATGCTTTTATTTCTCAACATAATCTCCCTGTGCATTGAGGCACTTGTCCCATCGTTTCACAAGCCCCTGAAAACCAGCAGCATAAAATTCTTTGGGCTGCTGTCGGAACCAGGTGTGTTCACACTTCATGGCCTACCTCATAATGCATGACAGGTTAGGTTTTCACAAAATCTGTGCACAATGGGTGCCATGCATGCTGACCCCCACAACACAAAATACAAAGAAGGGGTCTGGCATTACAGCATCTCAATTGCTACCACGATGAAGGACATTATATGCTAGCCCAAATTGTCACAAGTGATGAGTCTTGGGTTCACCATTACCAGCCAGAGACAAAGCATGCGTCAATGCAGTGGAAACATCATGCATTGCCTGCCAAAAAATTGTTTAAGGTGACACCATTCTCCAAGAAAATGATGCTGTAGAAAGCTGTATAGAAAGGGAAGTCACCGCTTGGTTCCGACAGCAGCTCAAAGAATTTTATGGCTGCTGGTTTTTAGGGGCTTGTGAAATGATGGGAAAGTACCTCAATGTACAGGGAGATTATGCTGAGAAATAAAAGCATCTTTGAAAACAGTACTCTTATTTAAGTTCTATATCCATTTGTAACTTACTTATTGACTCACCTACATACAATTTAATACCCATATTGATAACACTTCCTTAAAAGTTGATGTGGTACAATTTGGCACATGAATATCATCTTTCCTTCTAGTATTATATTCCTATAAACCTGAATTTCTTGCAGAGTATAAATTATATTTCTGAAAATGGCAAAACACCTCAAAAATATACAAGGAGGTAACAGTTAAAATATTTCATTCTTTAAAAATAGGTCTGCATGATGTTCTTGTATTTACACCTTTCATTAAATGAAGTATCCTTCCTCCCCCCCCCAGTGCTTCTCTATTTACGCTTTCACCACCAAAAATTTAACTATAACTTAGGATTGAAATGTTGCTAAGTAAATATTCCTGAGTATATAGAAACTCACTTCATCTTTCAAGGATTTAATAATGTAACATGCCTTACTCAATTTTAGACATGAAGACTGCATATATGAGCTTCATTTTGGGTTATTTTTTTATATTGATACCTAAAAATCTGAACTGTGATGTATAATTAATTTTTATATATTTTTTAAGTAATAACTGGCTCAGACATGTTATGATTTATTTAATTGGAGTTAATATAAATACAAGGTGGTTCAAATATGACCGGGACTGATTTTTTTGTAAACAAGGCGCACTGCGCAGCAGCTGTGCAACCTTGAGAGAGTGAAGCCGCAACCTCCACCCTCCCTCCTGTTAGGGTTAGAACCTGTTCAGTCCTGTCTGGAAGTTGCTAGAGTGATGAGAGAACAGAAGGTACCGTGGAGCGTGGAATAACGCATTGTGATCAAATTCCTTGTTGGAGAAAACGTCCAGTCCACTGAAATTCACCACAGACTCCAACAACAGTATGGGGAAGAGTGTCTCTCACGGACCCGTGTGTTTGAGTGGTGTAAGTGCTTCAGACAGGGCAGAGAGCGTGTGGAGAATGAACTGCATGATCGTTGGCAGCGAACATCCATCACCGAGCCGAACATTGATCATGCAGACATGGTTATTCGTGAGAATAGGCGCATCACTATCAAGGAACTTGGAGTAAGATCCGATCGAAGTGGAAGACAGGTGGGAAGCGGGTAGCCTTCCTTCAAGACAATGCACGCCCCCATACAGCCAAAACAACAATGGAAACCCTTTGGAAATTGAAATGGAACCTTCTGACACATCCGCCGTACAGTCCCGATTTGGCCCCAAGTGATTTCTACCTGTTCGGAAGGCTCAAATCAGACNAATATGCACTAAAATATGCACATAAAAATTATACCAAATATTAAAATTGATTTTACATTATTTTAAGACCAACAAGTCAATATTTAAGTTCATGTTATGTAATCACTGAATGATTCACTTGCAGTAAAAAGCTATGCTTAAATACAAATCATGCAACAAAGCCAACATATTTCATTACAAATTTAAAAAACCAATGGTACTCACATTTAGCTCTCCAAACTTTCATCTTCTCTTCTGTTGCAGTTCACAGTTACTAAATATTTTAGATTTTCCATAGTTAGTCACCTCCTATTGTCTCGTAAGATGTCCTTATAGCGGGAAAACTTCTCTCCACCTCAGAGGAACTTAGGGGTGCATGTACAAAATCTGCTATTTGTCCCACTGTTAGTGATTTTTTACTTGGCAGTTCAGTACGTTTAACGTCTAAAATTTGTTCATATCCTGGATTTTTGGAAAGAATGCTGTGTACTTTTTCTTTTACTACTTCACCAACTCTTCCAGGAATCGAATTCAATTTGGAAACAGTGGTTTTGAACACACTTAACGACTGATACAAAGTAATATTGCTATTGTTAGCCTCCGGTGAGGAAATGGCAGATGGAAGATGAGAGAAGTGAGCAGATATATAGGAAAGATTAGTTTCTAGTTCTGCATTTTTTAGTACATCTTGGGCAATTTGAATTTATGCTGCACTTTTGGGATCAAATGTATTCACGACATTCCTAACTTTTTCTAAATGTTCGGTATAATAACACACTGCACACAGCCACGTGCCCCAGCGCGTTAAAACTGGTTCTGGCTGAAGTAGACTGCTCGGTGCTACTGCTTCAAAGGCTTCTTTTCTGTGTGGCGCTTTAACAAATACCTTCACAGAAGACAC